GGTACAGATCTTACCTCTCGTAGATAGGAGGGTTACCTCTCGACCTTCTCCTAACAGATGACTCATAGATATTAAAGTTCAAAAGAGAAGACACAGCAGGTCTTCCAGAGAATATTCGGGTGAGGATTGAAGAAGACCCAAGAAAATGGAAAAGGATTATCCAGGAGGATAGCACGGATGAGTTGAATCGGCGGTGGGTAACAACCTTGAAAGGACCAACCTTAAGAAAATATTTCACCACTTCAAAATATTCAAGTCGCTTGGATGTGAAGTGGGTTCTTGTGGACTACTGGGTCTATCAATTCCTTATAGGATGTGGGGATTTCTGCGCTAAGTTGCATAGTCTTGGAAGAGACACAGATCCCCTATACCCCACTTGCGGAATACCAAAGATGTCTGAGTACGTCATAGTCAACTGTACCGCCTTTGATGGACTAAGAGCCAGAATGATAAGGAAAATTGGACTCTATGGCCTCACAGAGAACGAATTTTCCCAATTAGTGATGGAGCAAAATTACCCATAATACAAAGATTTTCTGTACAGGTGGAAAGCTGTTCTAAGGGCGGCAAACTTTGATCTGGAAAGATGAGGATCTGCTCATGGAAGGCCGTCAGAGTGATAATAAATTCTTATGGGGAAAATAAAATGAAGAAAACGGAAGAGTTTGTTCACCAACTTATCTTTCATACAGTCCTTATTTTTTACATTAGTTTTATTTTTCAGTCTGTCCTAAAATCTATACCCCAGGAGTTATTTTATTTACGTTATCTTTCTTCAGAACATACCATAATCCATCACCCAAATCTATCTGCTTAACTTTGAGATAGTGTAATGGCATCTAGGACAAGCTTGCTGTGGCACCAATTGATTAGGAACTAGTTGGTCAGTAGGACGAGGAACAACAGTTAACTAATGTACCCATTGCAATACCAAATGGTGGCAACTCTTTATAACAATTATTCGAAAAGAATCATTTGTAATTTTAAGGGCTCAACAAGAGGTATAACAAATAAATGAACAAATTGGGTTGTTAAAATGTTTCTTATTAGGCAATGTTTATTGCTATAATTTATTATAAAGCACTTAAGCCTTCTTAATTTCTCGAAGAGCTCTAGGTTACCTTCAAGAAGTCTTATGCTATCCTATGGTAGCATGTAATTCTATAACTGTAATAACTGCTATGTATTTATGTAAGAGATTTTGGGTTTTAAATAGCGAAGTAACTTTGTACTAATTTTTTCAATATGGCTTTATCATTTAAATTTGCTTTTGAGAGTCATGTTCTGGTTATCTGCGTGATCGGTTCACATCCTGAAGTACTCTAGTTCCTAAGAGTCGAAGCTGCTGCTCTGAGACTTAACGGTATCCACTAGTGTTTCGATCTTCTTTATCGGCTTCCCCCTTCTCCGCAATACACCAGATACCTGATTTTTTGGGATTTCGTCCTAGAATGTAGCCGACCTAGATCACTTTGCAAAGAGTGGAGAAACTCTTACACTCTTCTCTCTGTCTGTTCTACGTGTCTGTACCATGATTATCTCTCGAACAGATGGAACAAGTATGTTGCTTATTATGTGGTTTTATAAGGTTTCGGCCACTGATGCCTATATACCGAATCAGATATTCTGTTCACAATAGAACATGTTTTTTCACAACACTGCAGCGATAGGTGATGGTTTCATGATGGTTTGGAGACGATTATATGTTATCATTAAAACTCAAAACCTCAAATTTTGAATAAAGTTGAATTTTTCTTCTTGGCCAATTATAAATGTTCATTGTTGATAATAGTACACCAAAACAGATTATTTTTGTTACAGTGATAGAGTCGACTGGTCACCATTTTAAAGTTAAAAAGAACTATATCATCCCTTATTAATCTCTTAACCAAAAGATTCCTTTTTAAATTAGACAAATCTTTGAATCATACTCAATCTTAACATTATTATATATGATTTCAGGTACATTTCAAAACATTTTTGTTATTTAGCTTCATTCCCAAGATTTATTCAGTTTCTGATCTAAATAACAATAAACAATAGTTGATAGTACTATGCCTAGTGAATTTCGAAAATGTTACTTAAGGACCCTTTACATGATCAATATTATTAAACATGATATCTAGTGTAATTTAAAAAAAAATTTTTTTTATTAAATATTCTCTAAGCCCAGAAGAGGACCTGCTGAAATAGTGGACTCTATATATATAGTTTCTTTTTTCCAGTTACTAGGGAGCAGAGCACTGACTGAAAAATGGGAGGCCCTGCCGCAACAGGAACCTCAATCCAACTTCATCATCCTATCCCTCCTTATGTACAAAACCCTCAACAACTTCATCAACATCACATTCCTCCTCCATCACAAGCCACAGACCTTACCAGTTTGTTGGCATCTTTCCTCACTGAATTCAAATCCCTTGTTACCCCTGAAACCTCTCCTTACAAATCTAGTATCTCACCTCATTCCTCCTTTAAAAAATCCTTAAATGACTTCCATCAAACCCTTATTCATTCTCCTTTGGAATGCAAATGGTGTTAGAAATCATACTGACGGACTGACAGCTATATTACTAGACAAGAATGTTGATGTAGCCCTTATTACGGAAACTCGACTGACCAAAAATACAAATTTTAGAAATACCACAGTACTCTACATATCGTACTGACTATCCTGATGGTAGAGCACTTGCCGGTACTGCAGTCATTTTACACCAATCCCTTTCTCCACCTACTCCCATTACCTACTCATAATTTCCTGCAGTCCACAGCTATCATAATCAAAACCTTCTCCTTTCCTATTACCCTTGCATCAGTTCCCTTCTCAATTCCTTAGGACACCATTTCATCCTGGACAGACTTAAACGCCAAGCATCAACAATGGGGCTCAAGAACCACGAATTTTCGCAGACAAACACTGCTGTCTGGACTTAATTCCCAATGTTTTAACCTCATTCCTCTGAATTCACCTACCTACTGGCCCACTGATCCTAACCAGAATCCCGATATGGTTAATTTCTTCATCTACAGTGGTTGAGGTTTCCTCAACTATTCCATTACACGCCTCAATGAACTTTCCTCAGACCACAGTCCATTAATGTTCCAAGTATCACTAGCTCCTATTCCTAAACCCTCTCCATTATCCTTTATCAGAGGCTCAGCCTACTGGAAAACTCTTCTATCAAATCCTTTCCGATCAAATTGACCTCACAATAACGCTGAAAACCCCAGAAGACCTTGATAATGCCATACACTCCTTTACCACCACCATTCAACAAGCAGTCTGGACTGCTTCCTCCCCTAATCTAATCATTTCCCAAGAATTCTAAAGAAAAATAAATTATCTCAACACATCTTCGAGTTAATCCAAACCAAACGCTGTGCCAGATTGTTATGGCAACGCACCAGACTTACCACAGATCGCCGTTCCTATAATTATTACTGTAAACAAGTTAAGCAAGAATTATCCCACTTCAAATCTCAATCCTTTAACTCCTTACCTTGCCTCCCTCTCCGCTCAAGACAATTCTCTCAGGAATATCACAAAAAAATCTTTAAATCCCATATTTCACATCCCCTCCGTCGAGGTGATGGCTCCTGGGTGGCGTCTGATGATGACAAAGCTGAGGAATTAGCCAAATGCCTTTCCTGTATTTACTCCTCATCCTGAATCCCATCCCACCCATACTGCAAAAGTGGAAAAAATCCTCTCCTCACCAATTCTACTATCCTTACCACCAAAAGCAGTTCATCCTTCTGAGGTCAAATATCATTTACAAAAACTATCTTCCCACAAATCTCCTGAATACAACCTTCTAACCGCACAGATCCTTCATCAACTACCACCCAAAGCGATTATGTTCCTTACATATATATATACAACTGTATCCTAAGAACTACCCATATTCCTCTCTTATGGAAACATTCCACCATTGTCCTTTTCCTTAAACCAGCCAAACCTTCCAATAATACATAATTCTATAAACCAATCCTTTCAAAAATCCTACTAAAAAGAATTCTACGCACAATAGAATCACAAAACCTTCCTACCCATCAATTCGGATGGTTTCCAGCATTCCACTGTTCACAAAAGGACTTCGAGTTGTTGACCACATATTCTCAGCCTTAGAAAGCAAAGTGTATTGCTCGGGATCATTCCTGGACATTGGACAAGTTTAAAGTTCTCGGAACAATAGTCGATGTTCCCAATGTTACATAGAAATGTAACCAATAAAACCCTCCATATCCCATTTGTTCTTGACTTAATCCCAGATAAATTTTCTGAATTTCATCAGAACCTCACTCATCATCCAAATCCTGTAGCACAATCCCTAACAAGCTCCAGCCATCCCTACAATCCTCCCCGGAGGTTAAAACGGCAGTGGTACCACAACCTTTTGTAAATATGTATATATTGGCGTACTGGCAATGACCAGATTCTCCACTGGCTTCCAATACTAGTGACACGGCTAGGAGAGAAGAACTGGAATCCCCTGGAGTCCTGGCTTAGCTTTCACATTTGGGGGGAAAAGCAAGACCCAGAGTCCCGTAGGAGAATGTAAATATTGTATATAGGTGTGAATGCGTTTTATCTATTTTAATTTCATTTAGTTTCTATCTATTATTTATTTTACATATGTATGCTGATTTTCTTATTTTATTTTCTACAACCCTATTTCTTTATTATCTCTATTTTAGTAACCATTTGTATGTATATATTGTGTGAATGTTTAATGTAGCCCTAATATTAATGCCCTCCAATGTGGCCAAGCTGAATAATAAAAAAAAAAAAAAAAACATTATTTTCAAAACAGTGAAATTACATACCTAAAATAAAATTGAAATTGAAAAAATGTGGAGGACCACCATCACAAGTCCTCTGCCATAACCAAGATGAGTCCTGAAATATCTTATTGCCCAGGACACATCCAGATTTAGACTTAAACAATTTAATACTGGTCAATATGGTCTTGTATGTGCAATGATATTGACAGTCCTTCAATAATATTGAAAGTTTTAAATTTTATTTAAAACTTTGATATCAGGCAGTTTGATCGAATTCAATATAATTGATGCAATTTAGCCTTTACATGGCCATTTATTTATATTTCATACAACAAAAGGAGACATCATTGACTATTTTAGATAAATAAAATACAAAAATAAAAAACATTTTTTTAAACTAAAGGTATATTTATGTACAAAATACTTTTAAAATAACATTTCAAAGGCAATATTAACAATCATATTATTTATCCATAATTTCATCTTGGGCCCACCCATCTTCTTCAGATAAAAATCGTCTTTTGGCTGCTGTATTCATGTACGGTCTGAGGACCCATTCAGGGTTGGCTGTTTCTAATGTGTCCAAGGTTCCTAGTTTTATTTCATAAAGTTTAAGAAGAAATCTTGGTCCTACTTCATTTAATTCAATATTACCACCGTCTACCTGGAGATGGAAAACAATAATTAATTTCTAGTAAATAAAACTATACATAACATAGAGAATTGTGAATTGGATCAAATGATAATAATGTTAAAAAAATTGAAGGAATAAATAGAAAATAAAAAGAAAATTTTACATGTTGAGCTAAATGAACGGAAACAAAACAAGTAATAGTGCAGATAGTCATTTATCAAAACTCTTCAGGTTGCAGAACAGAACATTGAAAACTATAACAAAAAACAGTGATGCAGAAGAAAATTTCAAAATAGCACTCAAATTCATTCATAATGACTCATTTAAAAAATAAATCAGCTATGAATACAACATTAGAAACAAAACTAAATACTTTGAACCATCATTTAACAAAAGATTCAGAAAAGCAACATTGAGTTTTTATTTTATAATAGCTATAGAACTATATATATGCCCTTTGGTCTCATCCATATTAAATTTGGAATATACATTGGTTTTTATATACACATTCGGAATATTTGTAAAACCAAAAGAGCTAATAAAAAAAAATTAATAATGGCTTTACATTAACAAAGTTTATATAAGGAAGACGGTATATTTTAAAATATCTAAAGAAAACTACAGTTTTTTAGCTTAACTAATTTATTTTACTGATGCTTTATTTACAGAGAGAGCTCAGTTCATAATACAGTATGCTCCTCTGCTCAAGGTTCTATGTTCAAATCGACTGTGTCAGGTAATTATTCATTCTATTACATCAGCCGTGGATAAACCCTGAGATTGAGAGACCCTTCTGGGGGACACCCAGAGTCTAATAATTAATTAAGGGGGAATATGTGATGGTTGAGCATGATCTCAGCCCAACCAACTTCTTACACAACCCATGCTCTTGAAAAGTAATTCCTTGTAGAGTACTGAAGTCAGTACACCATAGGTTGTAGTGGTACTTTTGTTGTTGTTATTAAAATAGGCTGAACCTAGTATCTCCTTCCACCCATATACAACAGCTTTGTAGTATGGGTAGTTATTTGTTTTAGTCATTTAGGTTTATTAGTTATCTGACTTAATTATGGGAAAGCAATGTTTTTAGTTATTGCTCTGCTTTTAAAGGTTGTAGTATGATGTTACAAGTTTTTTAATTACATGTTTATATTAAAAGTTTAGTATTTATTTTAATTTTAATTATGACAATTAACCGTAATAGTGTAGAATTTATAACTTACATTACTAAACTGATAATAATATCTTAGACAGTTATAAAATCTAAAAATAGCAATAAAAATTAGAGAAAAAAGGCAAAACTAATGAGGTGTCAGGTTGGTCGAAAGGTAGGCCAGGAATTTAAAATTAATTTTATCTATTCTGCAGGTTACCTTATTTAGGTACTGATTCTGAATTGCTATGGTAGCTGTTTTCAAGATTACTTTAAGCATCCTGTAGGATTCAGGAAAAAGTTGATGACCGAACCCCATTCCAGCATAGCTGAATACCATGATAGATAAGACAGCTCAAGTCTCCATAATGCTGATTTCTTTGAATACATCAATAACAGGACAAAACGATATCAAAATGTATGCCATCTGTTCATTGAAACTTTCACTTGTTCTTAGAAATAATAAACAAAGCAAAAATAAGTGTTTTGTTCCTACAATAATCAATCAACCCTTTACTTGGATTATTACTCACAATCTATAATTACTAAGACAGGAACTAAGGTACTATTTTACAAAAATTACACCACTTTGATGGGTAGGAACAAATTTGAAAATCACACAACAAATGGAATTCTGAGAATGTTTGAAAGTAGACAGAGGTGACCAGGCGGTCTGGTAAGGCCACAACTTTGGGTAAAAAGGGCCTAGCGGGGGTTTGTTCATTCCTTTCGAATGAGCATATTTTGAGGAATTCAAAAGTTGCAATGTAATTAAAGCTAACTAAGCAGTTGATTTTAACTGAAGAAGACCTGTTGGGAGTTCATCATGATCTAAAAGAGAGGTTATACCTGTGCGTAGGTTGAAAATAATCACCCATTCTCTGAATTCTATTTGTAGTGTGATCATGAGATCTTGCACCCACCCATCTAAGTGGAGCGACACTTTTATAGTGACACCTTCAATCATAATGATTGAAACTGAATCAATGCTGTAATGAAAATTGGGTACTAGTTCACAAGAGTTCCGCACGGATTACGCGTGGTTCACAATCACTTCGCTCACAATTGTTCATGGAATCCTGAAAATAGCCAAATGTTGTCGTATTTTATGAGGTCAGCTATTGCCCCATCACACACCCCTTTTCATGCATTTTTGAAAAAAAAAAAAAAAAAAAAACGTATTCCCTTCATGGAATTTCCTTATTAACAATTTATTAACGAATTGTGTATTTAATAATTAGTCAATTATTAATTTTTATTATAACAGTTATCACTGTGAAAGAAAAAGGAAAAAATACATTGAGTCGTTTCTTCAAAGGCCTGTTAAAAAAAATGCTTTTAGAAATAACATTTTCATTGCACATGTAGTGGCTGTAAATACGCATATACTGTATATTTATAACTGTGTATAAAGGATTTTTTTATCTTTTGGATAATAAATAATTTGAAGTAATCTTTTTATTTGTTATTCGAGTTTTTCAATAGAAGTTGAATTGCATTTATAATTCATGTTATCAAGCCTTTTTTAGTTTATGTCATCTACCTAGTTTATGTATTTTTTTGGATATCTAATAATACGAGCATCCACTATTTTCTAGTGGGGGGGGGAGCGCTTTGTATGCATGTCTGATTTGAGATTAAGCATCAAGTTTATGTACACGGTGGGCCAGACCCCCTTACCGTGCACCCCCCCCCACATCCCTATAAATTGCATATCGTTGTGTTCCTTGTGACAATTTATTAAAAAAAAGCCAATGTTCCCACAAAAAAAAGTGAACGAACTGCCCCAAAATGGCGTCCAAACATGGCGGATTGACGACTTTGACTTTAGTTAGTTTTTTTGTTACTGAGAATCAGCATTTGGCTTAATATCATTATAGTTGGTCTTTTATTAAAGCTGGATAGTCAGAGAATAATAAAACATGAAAAAATATTAAAAACTATTTGGCTTAGGCATTAAAAAAAATCGGTAAAGTCAATTTTTTTTACAAAAAAATTTTCAAGTCGTTTGTAATTAAACGGTCAACAATAATGCAAAACGTGCTGAAATAAAACATCTGGAGAATACATTTCTCTTTCTAAAACACTGATTACTTTTTAAAATATTTGAAGTAGTTCCGTATAAAATGTGCTTAAGCGGCAGAAAAGCGCTACTGGCGTGGGTGCCTACAGGCCTCTACCACACCACTCAGTACTCATAAATGGCTTATTTATAGTGCTATAATAACGTTTTTGTTGTATTTTATTGATTATATTAACGAACAAATATTAATACAATAATTTAATTGTAAAAAGTTATTTTTTTTTAAATTTATTATTTTTGTTTTTATTTTTCATTATTATTTTTTATTATTAAACTTCATTTATTCTATACGGAGATCGCTTAAGAAGGCCTCTATTATAAAAATTATAAAATTATAATAATAAAACTTAATTAAAAAATACTTTGCAGAATATCTTGATTTTTTTATTTAATATTTGCAATTTAACATTTTGTTTTATATATTTACTGATTCTCAGAGGTAATTTAAATTGTATATACTTCCCCGGAAATGAGTCATATTAATATCTGTTTTATAAACTAAAATAATATATACCTAATCTGAACTGCTTTTAATGAATAGGTGATGGATTTTTTAGTAAAATTGTTATATCGCTATTAAAAAAAACATTTTTATTTCCTTTATTTATTCGGAAGTTGGACCATATCATAAAAAATAGGAACTTTTAATATTAAAGTGCATTATTCCCTCTGCACAAAAGAGATATGGAAAGGGCGAAGCTATAAGTTCTTCTAGGTAACTGGAACTGATAGTTAGTATTTGGTCTCAAAATGAGGGAAAACGCGAAATTGAACCCAAACATTGGAAAAATACATTAAGCGAACGACAGTGCCAAAATTTCGGAAAAGAAAACAAGGATCAGTATCCATTATATGGCTAAACGAATATATAGTAGACAAATGAACAGAATGTTTGAAGATTCTGCTAAAATGGGGTAAAAATGCTTGATCAGTTTGGATGATATTAAGCAGGTTTATTATAGTGAAGAACACTTTATCAGCAAGAAAGATTTGCTCTAAGCAATTGGCAAGTAGGTCTGGAGGAAGTAAACAAGGTTGATAATGGTGTAAACCACTTTATTTTAGATTGCTATTGAAGTTGTACATTGGGACTATCTTCACTTTGAAGCAGGTTATACAGAGGTCTATCGATAAAAGGAAATAGCTCTGCTCCTCTTTAGTGCAATTGCAAAAGATTTTTGAAGGAATCTGAAAGGAAAACGAGCTTTTGTGAAAGACTAGTAGATATTCGATCATATCCATAGTATGAGGCACTAAGTCGATAGAGAACCATTTTTCTTTCTCTGTGGACTTCTCGATAACCTACCTTAAAGTGAAGACAGTCCCAATTTGCAACTTATGTTCCAATGTGCAACTTGAGTTTCTCAATCCATATCGCTCAGGCAATCGACAATATTTCTAATTTTAGCTTATACGATTCTTTGGTTTACGTTTGTCTAAATAAACAGTAAGGAATCTCGAATAACATTTCCTAGTATCTCATTTCCTGTAAAGGGACAAAACTACAGTCCTTTCATATAATTTTCTAATACATTTGTAGCCTTTGTACGCACAGCATTTCGGGTTATTTCTTCCAGACCAGCTGACTTGCCAATTGCCTAGAACTAATCTTTCTTGCTGATGAAATGGTCTTCACCATAATAAACCTGCTTAATATCATCCAAACTGATCAAGCATTTTTACCCCATTTTAGCAGAATCTTCAAATATTCTGTTCATTTGTCTACTATATATTCGTTTAGCCATATAATGGATACTGATCCTTGTTTTCTTTTCCGAAATTTTGGCACTGTCGTTCGCTTAATGTATTTTTCCAATGTTTGGGTTCAATTTCGCGTTTTCCCTCATTTTGAGACCAAATACTAACAATCAGTTCCAGTTACCTAGAAGAACTTATAGCTACGCCCTTTCCATATTTCTTTTGTGCAGAGGGAATAATGCACTTTAATATTAAAAGTTCCTATTTTTTATGATATGGTCCAACTTCCGAATAAATAAAGGAAATAAAAATGTTTTTTTTAATAGCGATATAACAATTTTACTAAAAAATCCATCACCTATTCATTAAAAGCAGTTCAGATTAGGTATATATTATTTTAGTTTATAAAACAGATATTAATATGACTCATTTCCGGGGAAGTATATACAATTTAAATTACCTCTAAGAATCAGTAAATATATAAAACAAAATGTTAAATTGCAAATATTAAATAAAAAAATCAAGATATTCTGCAAAGTATCTTTTAATTAAGTTTTATTATTATAATTTTATAATTTTTATAATAGAGGCCTTCTTAAGCGATCTCCGTATAGAATAAATGAAGTTTAATAAAAAAAAATAATAATGAAAAATAAAAACAAAAATAATAAATTTAAAAAAAAAATAACTTTTTACAATTAAATTATTGTATTAATATTTGTTCGTTAATATAATCAATAAAATACAACAAAAACGTTATTATAGCACTATAACTAAGCCATTTATGAGTACTGAGTGGTGTGGTAGAGGCCTGTAGGCACCCACGCCAGTAGCGCTTTTCTGCCGCTTAAGCACATTTTATACGGAACTACTTCAAATATTTTAAAAAGTAATCAGTGTTTTAGAAAGAGAAATGTATTCTCCAGATGTTTTATTTCAGCACGTTTTGCATTATTGTTGACCGTTTAATTACAAACGACGCTTGATTTTCGACTTGAAAATTTTTTTGTAAAAAAAATTGACTTTACCGATTTTTTTTAATGCCTAAGCCAATTAGTTTTTAATATTTTTTCATGTTTTATTATTCTCTGACTATCCAGCTTTAATAAAAGACCAACTATAATGATATTAAGCCAAATGCTGATTCTCAGTAACAAAAAAACTAACTAAAGTCAAAGTCGTCAATCCGCCATGTTTGGACACCATTTTGGGGCAGTTCGTTCACTTTTTTTTGTGGGAACATTGGCTTTTTTTTAATAAATTGTCACAAGGAACACAACGATATGCAATTTATAGGGATGTGGGGGGGTGCACGGTAAGGGGGTCTGGCCCACAGACTAATGTAACTTTTTTGAATTCTTAGATATACGGATCCACTATTTTCTAGTCGCCGCAGCTTTTTATGAATATACTGTCGGATTTAAAATTGTTCGTCGATTTTTTGTAGATTTTGGATTTCTAAGATATAAGAGTCCACTATTAAGTTGACGCATTTTATGAAAATAATGTCAGATTAAAGATTTATGAATATACTGATAATTCCAAGATAATATCGAGTAATAGCATTCAGAGATGTAGTAATTAAACATTTTTATCTATTACTATTTCTTTTTTACAGATCTATAATATATGTACAGGTTCAATTCAGGTTACATGATGTGTAGCCTAAATTTCGAATGTAAGTTGGCTCCTGCAATATAACTGAACATGGTTAAGGTTATAAAAGTACTTAAATGTCGGGAAAGTTAATAGTAACTGGCTCAAGAGATCGGTCGCCTTCGTTCTCTATCGGATAAACCCGAACGCATTCGGGATTCCAGGAACAAGTGTGACCGAAGTGATTATGAACCATGCGTAATCCGTGCGAAACTCTTGTGAACTAGAACCGAAAATTGTATTTATATTTGAAACACATTCCTCCACATCCAACATTTTATAATTAATAAAATAATTTCATAATTTGTCGATAACAGAGAGTACTTCTGCCATCACGGAAATAAAAAGCCCGTTTTTCAGTTTTTCCTCATTACATTGCTTTCTGAGCATCATAAACAGAAAAAAAAAATATAGTTAGGGCACATCTACCAATGAATATGAACATGACTGCCAATATACTCGGCTACTTTCAGAGTTCCACTTGATTCCATCTACATTTTGCTCAAAATGATCTTGAAACCAGCAGCCATCTGGGTGTAATGATTAGGAACCAGCACGTTTACCTGCCTTGTTTTCATTGAAATATACATTAACCCTACAAAATATAAGATCACTATGCTAGCTTCACCATTAAGTACGGAGGGATAATGTGCCTATAACATACCTGTTATCCTAACCTGACACTACTGATACAAAAATTATATAAGAAAAAAAAATTACATACCTTCTTGTAGATATGGTGACGAAATGCAATATAATCATCATGATTAGCAAACGATATAACACGCTTGCTTTCTTCCTTAGGAACTGGAAACAGAAACTTTAAAATGTTCATAACTCTAAGACCCAGTTTACTTTTAAAATTATGAAATATTAGATGAGGATACTGTTCTGAAACAGTTCCAATATTGGGTATATCATGCCTCATTGTAACATCTGACAAGTTGAAATAAGCTGTTGGTCCATAAGGAAGATGACAAATCACCATATTGTCTGGAATTCCTCTATGTTCATGTAAAACAATAAAATCTGTAACGTTGTTAGCACGACAGGCATGAATAAGTTGTTTCATTTCATAATTTCCTCTGTTCATCCTTTGTGCATTGGGAAATATCAGTCTGACTTCTTTTGCAAACATCTTCAGCCGTGAGGATGGATCTCTTGAGGTCGTAATCATAATTTTAGGATCAAAAGCACCAGCCCACCTGTATTCATCATCTTCATGATTTAGACAAGTTCCTCCTTCTTCAGTACCTATAGCAGCTGCCAGTTTCGGGCCTTCGTCCTCCCATTGCAAATTATCTACCAGCTTTAAAGCCTGCTTCCTCAAATTCGTGTCAATAAGAGATCCTGATTCAAGACTTTGTTTTATTCTATCTTTCTTCTCTTGAATAGCTTTCTTTTTGTCTTCAATAGCTTTGCGATACAGGTACTCCCTCCGAAGTCTTGCCTGTCTTCGTAACATAGTAGCGAATAAAACTCACACAAAACTGTAATTAAACTCTTTAAAATAAAAATGTGCTGATCACTAGCCCGAACACAACTTTAAACACTAACATAGTCACGTGTTTACAGCGCTGTTAGTTCCAAAGAGGTTATTTTTATTTCAAGAAACTTTCTAACTTAATACAATTTAACTATTTCGTTAGAGAATGTAGATCTAGATACCCCAAAAATAAAAGTTATCTATTTTTTAATTTCATTTAAAAACTCGTCGGAGGTATACGAGTTTAGCAGTACTAAAACCCGACGTGATTTTTAAATCGGGTATTTTCTTGGAAAATAAATTGCGTCAATTCAATATTTTTTTTAGAGTAAAAAAAAATTGGGTTATAACATTTAAGTGATAAATAACACTAAGATTATTTCTTTTAAATAATAAAAACATGTTAAAATTGAGCTAAAAACTTAAACTAATGATCACGTGGAGACAAGAAGGGGGGAACAAGAGTCAATCATATGATGACGTGTAAAGCGATTTAACACGATAATGCTTAATCTCTTTTAGAGCCAGCTTATTTTATTTATTTATAGAGAAAAACAGATGGAGAGAGATAGGTCGCATATTATTTACTGATTGTGTTTTTGATTAATATTCTTGTTTTATACTTAGTTATGTTGTTTATTTCTTGTTCAGAGTTCTTTAGTTCATTTTCTAGTCAATAAGTGTTTGTTTAGTGTTTTGTGTTTTTGTTTATTTTTATTAACATTGACTTGTAAATTGTGAGGTTAGGAGTGGAGCGTAAGTTTAATATATTAAAAATTAGCTGTCTCCTACAGTTTTAGTCAGTTCTCAGTTTTACTCAGTCAAAATATTTCCTTGCATATTTTGATGGGCTTTACTCTTTACTTCACTCATCCAACTCTCAAAAGCAGTTAATTAACCCCACTGAGGTCAAACATCATTTTCAAATATTTTCTCCGCATATAATTCTTGGATATGATCCCCTTTCTTCTCAGATCCTTCGACAACTTGCTCCTAAGATCTAATGTAATATTCTTCATTTACAACACACCTACAAACCAGCCACGTTCCTCTTTTAAGGAAAAATTTCACAATAATCCATTTACTATAGCCAAGAAAATCTCCCTACTACTTTATATCCTATTGACCAATTAGCCTACTCATATTTCTTTCAAATATCTTTGAAGATATCCTTCTGAAACAAATTCTATCTTTTATAGAATACTGCAACCTTTCTTCCCAACATTTCGGATTTCATTTACAACATCCCATAGTCCAACAAGAACACCGAGTTGTTGGTCATATTTCTTCAGCTATTTCCAAGCCATAAATATAATTGATCAAATTTTCAAGACTGATAAAACTATTTCAAGTGTTTGCTGCTTATCCCCACATATTATTACAGTAAGGCTCGGAATTGGTTTTGTACCAAATATAAGCTCCAGTCATGCTCAAATACCATGAATGGGGTACCGTTGGATTCAGAATTTCACGGGGGATTGGTGAATCGTATTCCCCACTTTTTTTTTTGTCTTTCTAAAATGAATAAAGTCGATACAAACATTTTGCTAGGCTTCAATACTGGAACTGTGGTAAATCTGTAGATCGATAAGGGACAAATCGGGCTTTGAAGATTTTGATTTTCTTAGGAACTATCGGGTCCTGCGTTTTTAAGCCTCAAAACCTAATATTTTCGAGATAACGCAAGGCATATGGTTCGCATCCACATAACCTTACGTTAAATGTAGTACTGTCATTGAATACATGTCATTTCGTTGACTTGAGGCCTCTATGATCGAGAGAGGAGGAGTTTATATTATTTGTGGGTGGTAATTTTGATCGGCAATTCATATCATCACCAATTTTGAAGGCTTCCTTCTCCTTTAGGCGGACAAAATAGTCCAATACCCCGAAAATTCAGGCTAACATGTTATGAAGAAAAGAAACTTTATTTGGGAATAACTAAAACATTACGCACTTTTCTCTTGGTTATTCTCATGACTATATAAAATATTACTAAATTCCCTACAAAAGGAAGAAAAAAAACACATCGAAATCGAACAATTTTTAGCAAAGATACAGCTTATTGAAATTTGTAAATGTGTTGGTTCCAAACATTAATGAAGTTTTAAATTAATTTTTGTTTGCTTTTTCGATTGTATTTATCGATATAGTAACAATTGATTTCTTCATCTTTTGATACGTTGCATTATTTTCTTTGCTTATTAATTTGGCATTTGATCACTTAACAATATGCTGTGCGAATTTTTCGCACGGACCTACTAGTAAAGTATACATTTTATAATCTTATGGAGGTTTAAGTCACCCAGAAAAAGTTTTTCTTTTAATTAAATGATAAGTTCTTCCATATTCGCTAGTCGAACCTTCTACTGCCTATGATGATTATTAAGATGATTTCTGAAAACATTTCTCTGAAGATTAGCATTGGAGCTATGTGAGGAAATGGATTGTGGTAAAGTGGTGCACAAGGAATTTCTAAGAGAAATTTTCTACAAATAATTAAAACAATATTTTAAACGAACAATCTTTTATTAGTCACTATTAAAATTAGTGTTACATTATGTATTATTCCTGTTTCTTATCTAGATGATCTTAACTATTCACTAACTTTCTCAATTTTTTTATTGTATATATTACAAACATTTTTTTTTACCAATAAATTAGTAGGCACTTATCATATTATGGACTTGTAACAAGTTAATTAAAATTATTATCCTAAAACTACGATCAGTCTTGTGATCTTGATACATCAAATTAATCGATCAGATGCCTAATTATATTTTGTCTAATCATATTTAAATTCTATCCAATTAAAGTTATGGTGGATTGTTGTATTATTTCAATTCATAACTAGTTAATTAATTTACCGATGGTAAAAAAATGAGATATTCATACTGTAATTCAAATGTGCCGAGCACAATAAATACATTTCACAAAGTAACTTTCGAGCTAGAGAACGAGATGGCCGAGCACGTTATAGCGTAGGTCCCAGAGTGTCCAGTTCTGTACGTAGAGGATTCGATTCCCCCTGGGTCGGTTAGATAATTAAAATGAATTGGGGCGGACCTGAGAAATGAATCTTAGCATTCCCACTCTGGTAAGTGCGCAGTGGCAACCTCAAGATAGCTTTAAGGGATTGGCAAAAAGCACCATGTAGCCCACTCCCGGACTAGTTCTCCAGCAGTACTTGTGCCATATATCAGTAGGTTCAGATTTGGCAAGTGGACGACAAGTAATTTTTAAAGTTTTTTATTTTTAATTAAGTTATTTAAAAATATATAAAGTTTTCCTGTTCGAATCGCCATGTTTGATATATATTTCAAAATTACTACTCTAGGGGATAGGTTGTATTGTATGGTAATGGTTATCAACTGTTTTCATTATATATATAAATTGGAAGAAAAGTGTCTATATTAAACATATAGTATTCTGAAGGCAAGGTATAGAGAGTGGAATTAAAATTGGAGGAATGCTTCAATACGGAAAAATCTTCGCTGTGACATGGGTTATAAAAACACTGAGCTTCCCGGACTTAATATTCTGCTTTATATCTCAGAGGTTATAACAGGAGAGGAGACATTTAATTCTGGTAGATCATATTTCAGAGTTTATTATAAATTAGATTAACTCATATATAGAATAAAATGTATATAAGTTAATCTAATTCATAATAAATTATGAAGAGGCACAATAGGTTCCTGCATTAGACAGTTTGCATGAACGTGAGTCTTACGAAAACTTGTAATTGTTTTGCTTAGGAATTATGAGATCAAGCATAATGTTTCACAGCTGCAAACACCTGTATTTCTGAATAGGCTAAGAAGGGTGAAAAGATATATAATTTATTGATTAAAAGATCGTTTTCGTTAGATTGAATCTTTTCGATTTTAAACTCAAGATTCGAATCTTTAAAAAAAACAATAATAAATAGATTAAAAAAACAGATGGAAGTTAAAAAAAAAACACATCTTCATGAGAAGACTCTAGCGTCACAGTAAACTTTATTGGAATAGTGAAAGGCACAGCATTGATGCAGATATTTATCTAACCAGATTTTTTCCATATAATAAAAAGGAAATAATTAAAAGATACAATATATGTAGACTTTCATCTAATTCTTATTAAAAACGCGAGCGTGACTGTAGACCACACTTTTATTATGGGCCAAATTACTAAATTTTTATAAATAGAACTGAGTTATTAGTGTGAAGTAATATACACGGTACTATTAAAAAGCTGAAATATTTTATCCTTCTTCTTTCTTTAGATTCCATGTTCAAGCTTATAGCGGTCTTCCATTTATACTTTTTTATTTTATTTTCCACCCCACCTAGTCTACTTGGAGATATGGGTGTTTACAACAGTGAAACGTTAAGTACGGCTGCACAATAATCCCCTACAGCAAGCGAAACAATTACAATTTAACTAGGAGATGTAAAATCACATGAGCATTCTGTTAATGCAATTCCGAAAAATATTGAGTGTAGCCAAGTACATAAGAATGTAGATGATGACGACCGATCTCCACACAATCCATTTAAACATAAAGTTTATGTTACATTAAACGCCGAATTTCGAAGTACTTCGATGGAAATGAATTATTATAGCTCCTGACGACGGTAATGATTGACACAATAACTACCGATAAGAATATTTATGAGTTTATAAAATAAAAATTATACATTAAAATAGGGGATAGGATATTATATATAGTATTTAGATTGTCTATGAAACAAGATGTGTTTTCTGTTTATTTGTTGGAAAACGCCGCTATATAAACTCCAACAAACAGACTTTTGTATTATCCACTTTACTTGGAATCCCATCAACAATATGATCTGGGTAAGCATATGGCTAAATGCCATATTGCAGGAAGTGTTCGTAGATCAGTATGTTTATTCATTTTTACTGATGCAGACATTAAATGACATTTCTGTTATCAGTCCATATAATAGATACCCAGAAACTTTTTACAGTGCCTCATATTTGAAACTTCTGTTTATTTCATTGTGGATTCTAAACTTCTTTTTTACGATGGTTGGTATTTATACATTACCTGAGTAATCGTACTAAAAGCAATGTGACTTGTAAAAATAAGTACCATTGTTGCGGCACCGCATGTTGTAAAACCGTCCATCATTGTCATTTCAGGATAAATCTTATACCATTAGGATTTTTAAGTAGAGATGATTGGATTAAGCAGACTGAAACACACCCACACAGGGGACGATCAGCATGTGGTGTGCGTATATGGTCCCATTCGCGAGCTTTATATCCGAAGTAGCTTTATGGCGAAAATTGAAAATTGGCTCTCAGTCATTCGCTTCAAGTTACTACAGAAACCGACGCCCACATTAAGCGGCGTCTGAAAACGCTGTCTCACGTTGATTTGCTTGCCTTGCAAATTTGGGTATTTGCTAACTAGCATAATTACATAATTAAATTTTATTAGTTAACTAGCATAGCCGTAGGCACTGGTCCGTGACCCTTCTCCAATCCATTAGTGCAAGTTAGTGTTTTTTTTTTTTAAATTTTAGTATTAAATCATGCATAGTTTCATCGAATGAACCCCGAACGTACTTTCGGGATTCACATCAACGACTTCAAATTTTTCATAAAAACCTGCCGAGCCCGTAAATACCAAGTCATCTCTCCTCACTTTACTGGATTGACAGAAAGATGGTTGATCGAGTGCGGATTTCCTTACCCACTACCAAGAGAGTTAAAGGATATTTTGAGTCAATCGGTGCGGATTTGAATCATGCTTGGCGAGTTGAAATTTATTTCGGTAATAGCTAAGTGAATGAATCTTGCTAAAATAAGTAGGTAACATGCAAGATAACCATGTCGCGTATATATAAACAAAAGAATAAGGTAAGAGAAAAAGAAAGAAAATATAAATAAAAAAGAACTGGGTGCCAGTAATGGATGTGTTCTTGGATCAGCCGCCATTTTGGGAGAGGCACTTAAGAAGTTTTTTTCATTTTATGCACAAACTTTTTTTTCTATTTCCTGCATGGATACGAAGCTCTCCTATCTTTGATAGGGAGCGATAATATTATTAACTATAAGGATTAAAGTGGAGGTAATTGCGGGGCTGACCTTGGAGAAAATATTATTCCAGAAATAAAAACTGATTGTTTCCCTACCTAATCATATTAAAAAATCAACACACTTTTCATTTCTGAACAGGTTATTTTAGAATGAGGAGTTATTAATTAGTTTGGTCATCATGGATTAGTCTATCACTATACTATTACTTTAGCTGAAACTTTTTTTCACATTGTCACCAGTATGAATAAATGAATAAAGCCTCCAACCATGCAACCCCTTATGATTTCTCTGTTATTTAATCTTTTCAAACCATCAGAACGATTAGTTTAATCCCCATTATCCCACTATAGCCTTCAAAATAACATTTTGAATTGCCTCCTGTCCAGTTTTAGGCATGAATACTCTGCTCATTCCGCTCTCATTAAAATCTTCCAAGATCTCCATACTGCTATAGACCAACAGAAACCCATTATCCTTATTCTCCAAAGCCTTCAACTCAGTAGACCACAATATCCTCCTAACCAAAATTAAAAATTTCTCCTTTTCTTCTAGTGTCCTTAATTGGTTCCAATCTTTTCTTCCCATTCGTCGATCCCAGTATGTTGCAGTCCCTAATAATCCACTTTCAGAGTCTATACTCTTCTCCAAAGGCATTCCTCGAGGTTCCTCCCTATCTCCCATCTTCTATCATGCACTGTCAATACCACCTGTATGCCGATGACATAAAAAATTATCTTTCTTTCAATCTGGCTGATTCCTCTGGAGCCATCCTAAAACTCCAAGAAAATATGAACAGAATATGTGCTTGGACAAACTTCAATGGGCTCACTCTAAACACCAACAAGGCCAAAGCCTTCTCACTCCTAAAATTCATTTCTATACATCCTAATCTTCTTCTGAACAACTCATCTCTCATTCCATACTACCCTTAAAAATCTTGTTGTTTCTTTTGATCAAACCCTCTCCTGGAAACCACACATCTCTCAAATTTGTCGTCATACCATTTCTATCCTGAAACAGTTCATCTATCTATGCTATCTCCTTCTATTCAAAACCTGTCAGTTCCTGGTTTCTTGTTTTCTCCCACTTTGACTATACCTGTATGGTGTATGGTGGACTCTCAAGTGAACTTGAAGCCAAACTTAAATGCCTAATGAATTGTTCAATACATTTTGTTTTCGGGATCTCAGGAGATATACGTATTATTCCGAGTTGAAGTGGCTCTGTCCATCCTACCTCCATCTTCCTTGCTACCTTTCTATACCAGGCTACTAGAACTCAGTGACCTTTCTATGTTTTTCAGAGCCTACAATTTAAATTCTCTATTCAATTCTGTCAGACTATATTCCTTTCGTCCAATCTCTATCCTTCTCATCAAATTGCTGTGTTTGACAAATCCTTTGTTATTCAAGCCATCTCCCTGTGGCACTCTATTCCTCCTGATATTCGACATGAAATTCAGTTTCCTCTTTCAAATCTCTCCTCTTTAAGCAATCTTTTGTAAATATTTAATTTAATGTATGGCCACACCGGTATGTCTCATTTGCTCTTCATTTATAATTAGTTTTAAAGGGGCAACAATCCCAGGATGATTAAAGTATTTTCCATTTCATTTCACTAAGTAGATCTCTTGCGATTTAGTGATTAAGCTAACATCTCTTTTAAATTATAAATGGAAAGAACTTGCATGGTTGAAAACCATGGACTGAAATAGTATGAAGTGAAAACATTGTGATAGGTAATAAAACTGGCTAGTAAAAAAAAAAAAAAAAAAGCTATTTTAAAGTAAAATAAATGTAATTTGTGATTTTCCATATGACATTCCCTAAGTTCTAATTTGAATTAGTATTATTATTTGCTAATTGTCACAACGTGACAGGTGCGGATGGAGAGATGGAGAAGACCAAAAAAAAAAAAAATATATATATTTATATTTGATTTTAAAAATTGTTATTTATCTTAGGGAAAATTTCAATCTACCTAAATAATATTTCCTATGTATGACATTTTTATCATTCTGCCATGGCATATATGGTAGATATTTTATTTTTCATTTATATTGAAATGAACTGATAATTGAGAAACTTTTTAATTGAATTTATTTTTTTAATTTCTAGTTTTAATAAAATTGATTTATTTAAAAAAAAGATTGATGTATATTTTTAGTTAAATATGGGTGTTTAGCTTATATAACTCTCATCAAAATTATGTTATTATATTTAAAAACAGTTTTATTTTGTACAAATTGCTGCCATTATCATTTTGTTTTATACAGGAATGATTGCCAATAAATTTCCTCTTGAACATTTTGAAAAATCAATTTTATTTCCGTGCCCAAGATAATAGCAGAGACAAAATACTAGTTCCATATTTCTTTTTTATTAAATCAGCTCCCTTTTCTCCAATCATGATTACTGGAGCATTTGTATTTCCACGTGTTATTTTAGGCATTATAGATGCATCAATCACTCGTAAATGTGATATTCCATAGACTTGTAATTCAGGGTCAACTACTGCTGATTTGTCAGATTTGGGACCCATTTTTGCCGTCCCTATTGGATGGTAAATTGTTCTTGTGTGGTATTGTATGTAACAATTTAGGTAAGTGTCTAAACTAATATTGATTAGAGGAGCACATGTGGGAACAGTTCTAGTCACTAATCTTGGATCATATCTTTTTAGAGCATCAGTACTCATAAAATTAATAGCTTCTTTAACTCCAGCTGCAGTCCTTTCAAAGTCGCTTTTTCTTCCATAATAATTTGGATGAATTAAAGGTTTATCAAAAGGGTCAGGTGAGTTTAGTTTAACAAAACCTCTACTTTTTGGATCTAGTAGTGTCAATCCAATGACTACTATGGGGAGATTATCTCGATTTGGAGTTAGGGTAGTTAAGTGAAACTGAATTTCTGGTGGTAAGAAATCATTTTTCTTCAAGTTGAAAAATGCTAATGCATCTATACCATTTGTTGTAAGTATTCCTGATTTATTTTTTGCATATTCTAAAATTGCAGAAGAATTTAAAAATGTAGAATTGATGATATTTACTTGTTCATTGACTAGAAATTGTATTCCCAATAGATTGTGATCTTGAAGATTTTTTCCAACCGGAAGGTCTGCTATAACAGAAATATTATGTTTTTCTAGATGCCTCCTGGGACCAACTCCTGAAAGCATTAATAGCTGAGGCGTATTTATGGCACCAGCAGATAAAATTACTTCTTTTACTGCAAAAGCACGACGACGTCTCCTTTTATGAACAAACTCTACTCCTAGAGCTTTTTTGGTAAACCTGTTAATTAAAACCTTTGTTGCATGAGAGTTTTTGAAGATATACAAATTTCTTCTATGTTTTATTGGATTAAGGAAAGCTTTGGATGTACTACAACGATTAGGTCCATCTACAGTAAGCTGTGTCACACCAATTCCATTCTGATTTATTCCATTGTAATCTCTTTCAGCCAATCCAAAGTCTTTTCCTGCATTTATCAAGTCATCCCTGAACCTTGATTTGTACCTAGCATAGCCTACAGACAGTGGACCTTCATTGCTGTGGAAGGGTGATCCTTTGAGGTCAGGTGCAGTTACATTTTCTGATCGAAGGAAATAAGGTAAAACACTTTTGTATCCCCATCCTGGGTTCCCTTCTTTTTCCCACTCATCAAAATCAGCTCTATTACCTCTTACATACATCATAGCATTTGTGGTGCTTGATCCTCCCATTCCTTTTCCTCTTGGATAGTCACATACCCCTCCAGTACCTGGAAAATGTTAAAGATAAAAGAATTACAAATAAGCGATATATTTGCTACTAATCCAACAAAACGAAGCCATGTTATTAATTATTTCTAGAATTTTTCATTTCAAGTTTAACAATAAAATACACTTTAAATGTTTTAAATCGTCCATTGCATGAGGGAAGTGGATAACTTAGGTGAAAAGTCAGAAAATGAAATTAAATAAAAGCATAAGTAAATCATAAATCCACATGTTTAAGCAATTAACTATAAATATTTAAAAATAAATTATTCCTTTAATCATTACTTTCCTGTATAAAAATCAATTTACTTGGTTATTTATTTACATTATGTTTGTTTATGTAAAAAAAAATATATAATCTTAAGAAAAAAGAAAACTATATCAAAAAAACAAATTATGTAATATGGACATTAGAAACTGATATTATTTTGTACTGTACTTTTAAATTAAAAAATATATTTAACAATTTAAAAAAATCAGTTGTACTTTGGTGATTGTGATGTGATATCTGCTTCAATTCCCAACTACATGTTTCCAGAGTGTTATGACTTTAAAGAAAAATAACATAACTTAAAGAGAGAGGAACCCTCTTCCCACAATGTTTTAAGCCCAAATGAAAAGTGGTATTATGAAAAGTTGAGGAGCACTCGAGCTTTCTTTGACGAAGAGAGCTTTATTCTATGTTTCTGAGATGTATTGTCTGAAGGAATGGGTTGTTGAAGGTTGATTTATTCACATTGCTTCCATCTCCGTTTTTTTTTTTTTTTTTTTAAACCCGTTAATGTTAGAAAACGTTCACAGGATTTTTTTTTAAAATTTGTATCATGAACCAAAATATTAACTAAGCAGGTTTGGAAATCCTATTTGATTTCGAAATAGGTTTCTTAATTTTTCTTTAGATGAAGGCAAGTCACACCTTTTACCTATTTAAATATAATTACAACTCAGTTGTACCACAGTATAACTTACTAAGACAAGCCTTTGGTTGGTTAATTGTTGTATAATTCCAATTGAAACGGGTCTGTGATAATTGCTGGTAGAATAGTGGAACATCTGTTACAAAATTTTCGTCTCCACCTGCCTCTATGAGCAAAACATTCCAGTTTGGATTTTCCGTTAAACGGTTTGCAACTACACATCCTGAAAATATAAATAAGTTAGTTTAATTAACTGATAAATGATCTGGGTGCTTGATAAAATATTCAGTATAAGATATTAAAATAAAGTTAAATGATGACCTAACTCTTATACTAGTTATTTTAAATGATGTGTTGCTTCTTCAGCTGATCACTTCAAGACTTTTGCAGTTGGCAATTTATACCATACTGTTCAATCTCATATAATTTTTGATAAATTATTTGTAGCTTGGATTATAATTAATTTAAGTAAATCAACTATATGACATTAGTGTTGATAAAATCTATTAGCATTATATAAATGTTTATCAATAATGAAATCATTAGCTGAAATTCTTCAACAAAAACAACAATTTTATCAGTGGTGTAAATTAAAAAGTATTTATTGTTTGAAACAAACAACTTTGTAGTTATAATTGTCAAAACATATTTTTAATTTTTTTTTTTAATTGATAAGCGGAAAGAACTTATATTTTATAACTTTATTTATTATGTGCTTTTACACAAAACTCAACATCTTAAAACTTTTCAAACCATGATTATGACGTTTATTCATTAAGTCACTGTGCTTAACTTTTATTTGATGATTCTTAAATTATATTAAATTTCTAGAAAATATAATTCTTTAATCATTTTAAATTTTTTTATAAACAAATTATTGTTTATTATATAAAACCTTTTCATAGTATATCATTTACATGTTTATTTATGAAATTCCCAATAACCTGAAAATACAAAAAATAACAATCATAATCTATTTCTACTTTTGGGATAAAATTGTTAAAATTTTTAATTATATTATTTTTTAACAGAAATAACGAGGTATTCGTGATTTAACTCTTTTCAGGCCAACCTGATCTATCCTTCTGTCTAATGTTAGTCCCAGAACTATCCTGCTCTGAAAAGCTGTTAATATGTTTTATACAACTGTTTTAAACATTTTTCTTTAATGAGTTCTAATTACTTATCATTTTTCTTAACTTTCCATTTTTTGATAACTAAGGTTGCTCAATAGTGCCATAAAAATTTTCCATATTAAATTATCATAAAACAAACAACCAGTTTTGAACACCAGAAATATTATGCTTAAATCAAATATTTGTTTAAAACACTGTATGAGTATCGTAACAATATTTAAACCTAATGGATAATATAATCCTAAACTAAAATAATTTTTTTTTACTAAGTGAATACTTATGGAGTGTCTGACCAGGGATTGGCTTCTCTATAAAACCTAAATATATTTACAGAAGTTGGAAAAAATAAGTGATTCAAGTTTTGGAGTAATGTTGGCCCCAAACATATAAAGATTCTCCTTTTAACAAGATTCATTTGAGCCAAAGATTAATGTTTGCTCTTGTGGATCTTTATATTTTTGTAAATAATATTTAATAAGCCTTTGTATAACTACAATTTCACCTATTAGTTAATCCATCCTAAATAAACATCCAACTTCATAATGTATATCTCAATAATAAAGAACTTTTCATTTACGAACAAGAGGATATTTTGATTATGCATGTTTGTTATATATTATAATTACAGACGTAATGTGTAGTTTAATAAACTAGTTTGCTCTTCGCTTCATTAGTTCAAAAGAAAAAAATAAGTTATAAAGAACATAGTATAATTTTTCCTATTAGTTTTGAAATAGAAATCACCATTATTGGACATTTGGAGTCCATCAGCATGTTTTTTTATTGTTTTTACTAGTTAGTTAAACTTTTATTAAGACTGTTCAAAGATACAAACATATAAATATTTATCAAATTAATTTTAAAATTAGATTAATGTAATTTCAATTGAAATAATTAAGATATTTTAAACTTTTGATAACTAATTTTTGGTTATTTGTTCGTAACTTTAGGGTATAAATGCAAACTAAGCAGAATCAAAACTGGTGGTTTTTCCTTATGTTATTCTATAATTTTTTTCAAGGAATAAATATATTTTTCATTTACAATCAAAGCTTTTTCACTTGAAATATACTATTCAAATGTACAGTATCTCTGTAATAAATTGAAATGTTCTATTTTATTTTATTAATTTTGAATGTATAATTACTTTAATTTAGCATTGCATTAATTTTAACAAGATTTTAACAATTTTATATAAATGTACTTTAAACAGAAAAAAATGTTTAAATTTATTTATTTAGAGTATTCTATGAATTAATACTGCTTAGATCTATGAAAAATAATAAGTTATTTTCACATTTATATACAATACAAAAATTATGAATGTAATATTGCAGAATGCATTATATTAATCTATAATAATCAATAAATATACTGGTTATATCAGCTTGAAAAAAATATATAAAAAATTAAATAAGAACTGATCTTGACAATAACTTTTTTCTATAAATTTTTATTTAAGGTTTTAAACTAATACAATTTAAAATGTAATTTATCTTGAATAGAAGTTTAATTATTATTATATTGGACTTAATATCGGTCTTGTTAAACCTGTCATCCTTAACTTCATTAATTAAAAAGAAAAAAATAACTTATATATAACATATCATTATTTTTTCTCTTAAATTTATTCGAAATAAAATAAAATTACATTGAATTTTAAATTTAGTAAAAAAAAAAAAAAAAAAGCAAAACAATGTTTTTATATTTTTAATATTCACTAAAATTTATAAAGATACAAACATTTAATGTATTATCAAATTAATATTCATATTAGATTAATTTAACTATTAGTGAAATATTATTATTATTTTAATCTCTTGGGTTAGTAGTTTTTAATATTTTGTTCATATCTTTTCTGAAATAAATGCATGCTAAGCAAGATTAAAACTGGTGATTTTTCAATATCTTACTCCTTAATTTTCTTGACGGAACACAAGCGGATCTATGGGGGAAGAGGGGAGGCTTTTGGGCTGAATCCTCTCCCAAAACGGTAAAATATAACCATGTTTTATAGAAAAATTACTATTTCATGTTTTATAGAAAAAAAAAGGATTAAAAACTATCTCTTAAAGTATTATTGTTACATAATTACATTCAATAGGACTTCAAGAATCACTTAAACAACATTTCATACAGGTAGTTAATTTCTTTTTTTTTTTCCGCATGAATTATTGTTTTATACACACACACACATATATATATATATGGGCCAAAAAAAAAAGGTGTAAAGGTGTTTTTACAATTATTTTTTTGAGCATTGTATGAATTAATGCTGCTTAGATGTACATGAAAAATAATAATTATTTTTGGTTTTTATATATGATATAAAATTTTAAAATTTGATATCGGGGAATGTCTATATCAAAATGGTTATATCAAAGTGAAAAAAAATATATACAAAATTAAATAAGAACTGATATTGACAGTAACTTATTTTTATAAATATTTATGTAATGTTTTATTCTAACACAATTAAAAATATTTATAAATTTAATTTAATTTGAATGGATGTTTACAAATTATATTATTTATTTATTTTCTCAAAGAAATTCCTACAAATATACTTATACTTTGTAAATATTTTTTTTTTAAATTTCAAATATACGGTTCATAACTTAAATGTACAATTTTGGGTAATAAATTGAAAAGTTCAATTTTATTTTATTAATTTTAAATATTTATTTACTGTTTTTAAAGATTTCTTATAAATCTACCTTAAAAAGAAAGTTTAAATTTATTTGTTTTGAGTATTCCACTAATTAATACCACTACAGACAATAATGAATTATTTTTACATTTATATACCATATAAATTTAAAAATGTTATATTGTAGATTACATTATGTTTATATATAACAATTAATATAAATTACTTGCATCAGTGTGAAAAATAAATAGCTTATTTTTATTTTTATTTCAAATATTTATGTGAGGTTTTATTCATACAAAATAGATAACGTTTTTAAATTTAATTGAAGATATTTTTTCAAGATTGACAAGAATTTTTAAAAAGCGTAATATTTAAAATTATTTAATATTTTAGCTATTTGATATTATACCATCTGAATAAATAACATTTACATTAAAAGTGATTGTTAATTATTTTAATAAACTCTTAAAAATACTGTATACCTATTTTTTATATTATAATAAACAATTTCTTACCTGCTGAACCTGCTCCGACTATTATGAAGTCATATATGATGCCGTCACAGAAGTAGCAGTCAGCTAAGTCCTTAGGATGTACAGACTGGTCTAACTGCAGGGGATAGTAAGACACAACAGAAGCCAGCAGGAGGAGTACAAACTCTGAAGCAGTCAACTCCATCACTCCCAGCCACTATCTGGGGGTAGTGGCCACCATTATTGGGTCTGTGCTCTTTGAAGAAAACACTTAAACTAATAGAGTTACATCGAGGAAGTGAGCTAGACTGAAATGTGAAAGCCTTCCAATTCCCTCATCTGCTATGGTTGTTACTGGCATTGTATCTGGGGGTAGCTTGTCAAATTATATAAGTTATAAATGTTTAATTGACAGTATTGTTTTATTATTAGAATATTAATTGTCACACTTCAAATTAATGGGCTTGAAAACTTGAAAAATATATATACTAATATATTATAAATTTACTAAAATAAATTATTTAATTCTTGAAACAAAAAAAATAGTAAAAACCAAGTAAATAAATATGCATGCATGTATATTAATATTATTTAAAAATAAAATAATTCTTTTCATTTTTTCAATATATAAATTAATTTTTTTTTATCATAATCATATAAAGATTAGAATTCCAAAACCAGCCAGATCTATTTTACAGTTTTTTGCATTATTATGTTTTGACAAAAGTATCTCACGTTGCGTCAATTGTGCATTAATAACTCCGAACAATGACCTTGTAATTTATCTTTTATTCTTAAAGTGTTTCATTTATTTATTTTTTTTTTACTTTATAACTCCTAAGGATTTGTTTTGAATTTTGGTTTATATATTTTAACCTATCTATTGTATCAACTTATCTGTTAGTGTTGTGATATAACATACATTTGTTTTTTAAGAATAATTTATTGGGATTATAATAATTAAATAGGTTTCCATCATTACTTATGTATATATAAAACATTTTTACTTTTTCATTTATTTATGTGTTTGATACTTACAGTCCTTTAAATACGAAATACCATTACATTAATTATAATGAATATATATATATATATATATATATATTAATAGTTAAATGTTATATAGTTATGAACACATTTTTAAATGACTTTCCAAAACCCTCAAAATCCAAAAATTTATTTTCTGCCAGATGCATGTCTACTTGATTTTTGTCTTGATTTTTATTAAATATATTTGGGCAGCTATCTAAGTGGCTGCCCCCCTCCAAAAAAGAAGAAGATAACATCAATTGTGCATTAATAACTCCGAACAATGACCTTTAGCGGGCAGAAAGTTTACAAAAAGGATTTGGATGATTATGATTCTCATTTTTATAGCAAAAAAAAATTGGCTATTTCATTTCTTAAAAAAAAACAAGTATTTTTAGCCATAAAAACTTTACATTGAACCCGGGCTTATCTACATGTTGCAAATGGTAATTGTTGTTATTTGCAGTATTATTTCGCCATATTTTTAAATTAATTGGTTAAACATTTAATACATTCAGATTATATTTATACATATAAGTTTTTTTTCTTTTTAACCAGTGCCCATGAATTGATATTTAACTAAAATTTAACCTAAAAGCTGTAAATATTCCTGTATATTAAATAGACATTTAATCAGTTTTTAAAGGTAAATGTGATATTTTTAGGCCTTTTCAATAAAGATATTTATGAAAGTTTTCACATTTTAACTTGGAAAACTTGATGTTATCATATACTAATTATTATATGTAATTATATTATTTAGTGAATAAATCTCTTGGATGTTACCTTTATACACAAACAGGTTTTTGGTGGTGTTTCCTATTGAATTTTTAAATTTTAATTGAGTAACTTAAAATGAACAGGTCTATTCAAAGAACTGAGTACTGAAAATTGGTAGGTGTTTAAATGTATATGAATCCAGTGTTTATGAAAAATCAGAATGGATTTTAAAATATTTATTGTTGACAACAATATGTTAAAATGACCTTAAGAGTTACTGAATACATTTTTTTTTTAACTTAAAGTACTAAGTAGTGGTTTAGTTTTACTTTTTGCTAAAACTTAACAATAAGGATTTTTTTTCTTTCCAGTAAAACTAAAAAGTTCTATGCTAATTTCACAAATAGATTTTTTTTTTTTTTTTGATTAATTACATTATATACAAACATGCTTTAAATAAATCATCTCAAAATATTTACAATACGAAAGTTTTTTTTTCTCCTGCTGGACCACTTTCTCAATAAAACTGACTTATTAATAACTTATTTTAATAATTATTTTACACATATATATTTAGTGGATATTCTATTTAAATTATTCATAAAAAATGTATTGTATATTTCAGTATTATATATTTAATAAGACACATCCATAATTATATACTCTTCATTAAAGATTCATGCAAATAATATGACATTGATTTATCATGTTTGTTTTTCATCTCCTCTACCATGGAATACATTTTTTAAAGATACAAAGATTTCAAGTTTAGAATTGAAATCATTGTGTCTGATAATCTATTTGACAATAAACCTTTCAATCTTTTTAGCTTTACAAAAAACATAACAAGAACAGATTACTAATATTTTTAACATTATAGGAACATATGTATAGCTTCTGAAACGTTTCTGTCTAATTAATAATAAAATAGTAAATTTGTCAAACTGGAATATTGAATTGAACAATATTTATTTTCTGAAATCAAATGGAAAAAATAAATCTATAGTATTTACTAGTAATAAAAAAATAATCATATAAACTGTAACCAAATAAATTGTGATTTAAAAAATAGGTAATTGAATTATAATAATTATAAATGTGATTAAATTTTCTTCAAAGTAGGAAGGGAAATGACTTTATTAAAAACACAATAGTTAACTTTTTTCATTTTTTTTCTTTTTCAAAAGATTGCTTTTTACAAAATTGCATTGACTGTGTTCTAGTTTCAATTAATTGACTGCCTATTTTTAGTAGGTAACACATCATAGTCTGTATTTATATATTACACTTTTTGCTGCAAATGTTATATTATCAAAGTTGTTTATGAATGGAAGGTCCCATCGATGCAAAATTATGAAAATCATTAAAAGAAGAAAGAACACGCCATCTCATTTGTTTATGTATGTAGGTAAGTCAACATTGTTTGTCTGTTGTCGATTATAAAGTAATAACTTCCCAAATTATTCAAAAACCCGCCAAAATATGTCCCCTCAAAAATTTTTAAATACAATTTTTCCTTTTGGGCATCCCTTCATTGTTTTAAAAACATGCAATTAAAATTATAAAAAAAGATTTCATTTGTTGAGATTTCCAAACTGGCTAAATGATGTTGAATCAGGCAAATAATTTACTAAATAAAGAAGAAAAATAGTAATACGAAATTTGTCATTTATATAGCTAACATTGGTTTTGCTGAATTTGCTTCATGGAGGAATAGTATTATCAATTCAAGTAGCGAGAAATGATAATCTGGATGTAGCTCATTCCAGATTCAACTTCTTCAGATAGTCAAGAATATTATACCCAGAAAATGGCTATTGTACCCAGAAACTGGTTATTAAACCAAGAAACAATCTTTGATGTTCATAGTTAACCATGACAAACACCAATGGGTGGGCATGTTTTCAAATAATTGCATTACTCCACTGATTCTAGTTTGGCACGTTCCATAAAGTAATCATCCCTGAATTTTACAGAATTTTTTATGCATACGATTTTAAAATTAAATACATGATCACTCATATTATACACATAAAGTTTTTATATTTATTTTCATGAGATATTGTAAGCCATTATAATGTTCTTAGGGCCCATACGGTGAGCCGCAGAGTATGACGGTGGTCGTGATGGCCGTTATGACGAGGAACAGCCAGAGAAGAAGGCGGTCGCACACGAGGGCCACCTGCTTCCACTCCAGCTCCGTGATCTCTCGCTTCTCCTTCTCCTGGAGGCGCAGCTCGTTCCGGGCGATGGTGGAGTTGACGTGGTGCAGCATTCGAAGTAAGTGAGTCTCGAAACTCTCTGAAAACATTAAACAAGGCCATTAAGCGTCATTTTGCCGGGTGGGACTTATAACTCGGCATAATTACCCCGCCCTCTCTCTCTGCCCAGAAAAAAAAAAACTGTGTAGCCAAGAGAGGGAAGGAAAAAAAAAAAGATGAAACATTTCAATCGAAGATAATGAAAACTTCATTTACTCTTTAAACTTTATTAATTTTGTTTAAGACTGATAGAAGGAACTGTTTCTGAAATATAAATAACTAGTAGGCCCTTGCGAAAAATTCGCACAGCATATTGTTATCAAATGCCAAATTATTAAGAAAATAAAATAATGCAACGTATCAAAAGATAAAGAAATCAATTGTTATTTTATTGACAAGTATAATCGAAAAAGGAAACGAAACTTAATTTAAATCTTCATTTTTGTTTAGAACCAACATGTTTACAAATTCCAATAAGGTATATCTTCGCTAAAAATTGTCCGATTTCGATGATTTTTTTTCCTTTTGTAGGGAATTTACTCATCTTTCATATAACCAAGGGAAAAGTGTGTAATTTTTTAGTTATTCGCAAAAAAATTTGTTTTCTTTTATAACTTGTTTGCCTGAATTTTCGGGGTGATTGGACTATTTTGCCTGCCTGAAGGAGAAGGAAGTCTTCAAAATTTTTGGCTTAATCTTGAGATTTGGTAAAGAATTAACGGTGATATGGCTTGCCGATCAAAAACGCCATCGATAAATAATATAAATTCCTCCTCTCTCGATCATAGAGACCTCAAAGTCGACGAAATGAGATATGTATTCAATGAAGGTACTACAATTAACGTAAGGTTGTGTGAATGCGAACTCTATGCCTTGCGTTATCTCGAAAATATTACGGTTTTGGACTTAAAAACGCAGGATCCGATAGTTCCGGGGGAACTATTCGGGTCTTGCAGTACGCATAAAAATCTTCAAGGTCCAATTTGTCCCGTATCGATCTACAGACCTATCACCGTTCCAGTATTGAAGCCTAGTACAATTGTATCGACTTTATTTATTTTAGAAAGAAAACCAAAAGTGGACAATACGATTCGCCAACCCCCCTTGAAATTCTGAATCCAATGGTAGCCCATTCATGGTATTTGAGCATGACAGGAGCTTATATTTGGTACAAAACCGATTTCGAGCCTCACTGTAATAATATATGTGGGGATGAGGATAGGTTTGCCCAAGAAAATACATTTAATCACAAACACAAGAGTGGGTGTATTGTATGTACTTTGATGAAATTGATATGTGACTATTTGGACACCAAATCGCGCACAATCACCGAAAGTTTCATAGAAATCGAAGAAGCCATATTAGGTAACGTGTCAAACCCAAGGATGTAATTACAGATATACGAAATCGAGTTTGTTGCTTGATGTTTAAAGCGTTAAACGCCAGTGGAAATTCCCGATTTTGATCGCAATATTTTTGTGAACTCAAAACTTCACTACTTTCGGTAGTGAAGAAGCAAAATAGTCAATCTTGGAAAAACAAATTTTTAATAGGAAGCTCTTATAATTTGTATCGGTTCAATTTATATAATTTTAAGGAAAAATTATTGTTAATTTTTGTATTACAGGCTAAGTTATAGTTGGAATCTGCGGAAAAAGAAGTTACTAAATAAGATATGGAGGAAATTATGAACGTTATTTTATTTTACTTATTATTTTTACTAATTGTGTTTAATTGTCGACATAATATATATTAGAATATTTTGGATATTATTTACTTCACTTTACTAAATTATAAAATAAATTAGTTGACAGTTTACTCATGTTAATCTTGTTACTTAACTTAGGGTAACATAACAAGGAGGAGTTAACATAACATGAGCAAATTACTGGCAGCTTCTCCTCTTCCGAATTAAGAAGATTTATGAACTGAAAAGTAAATTTTAGTTCTGGAACATCTGGTACCTTTAGAATAATGAAAATTTAGTATTATAGTAACATTTGCATAAAATGATAATTATGAAATAGTTAAAGCTGTTTGAAATAAAGCTAAATTAGATGTTGAATAACTTCCTTACCAACATTGGCATTGGCGTTGTTGGCGGAAGAGATGAAACAGGGCGACCCTTGAGAGGCTACCGTCGTTATGCAATTGCAGATCTCGGCCGACATCCATTTGCTCGATCTAGGGCAATCTCCCCTTTGGCGTCCCTACACAAAAACATTTCTTTATTATTGTCAATGCAATTATGTGTTACTTTCTCTGAACCTTACTCTGATATTTTTACATTGAAAATAAAAAAGAAAGCAGATATTGAAACATTAATTCTTATTTACTCACTTGTTTCATGAACTTTCTCACATACCACGATGGAAAAATTTGTTGTTGAAATGGTATTCTTATAATTATAAAATATAATTGATATTCAACTTTGGTCTGGGACAAAGTCGCTTAAGAATAACAACCTTGTACATACAAATTAACACAAAATCTACCCGTAAGACCTATTGCAATAAATTAATAACTAAAAAATAAGTAGTGAATACAATATGTACATAGTCTTTAAAGATATATTAAAAAAAACAGATAAGCATTACGAGCACAATACTACGATACAACTATTAACCAAAAATAATAAAATAAAAATAAGTAAATAAGATTGAAATGGAATGGTAAGTTAATTTTATAAGCTAATTAACGTAGCGATAAACGTCTACCAAGTAAGGTATAGCTTTCAGTTTTTGAGATATAGACGTATCAAGGAAAACACGTTTACGCAAATATAACATAAAGTAGTGGACCGAATTTATGTTAATTGACATTACATTATTTGTTTAACCAATATCTACATTTTCTCAAACGTTGAGCCAAATCAAATGAGTAGTTAAATATTGGCATATCTAAAAAAATACATTTTAGCGTGCGTAAGCGGATGTGCTGGATGGAATTTGATAAAATTGATATTGGACCATCTAGACACCAAACCCGCACAATCCCTGAAAATTTCATGAACATCGGATGAAAGATATGGTAGGTGATATGCCCGTCCCATCAATTTGACTACAGACAGATCGACAGACAGACGCCAAACCAAATTTGATCGTTGATGTTTGAAACGTAATACGAGAGTAAAAATGTTTGATTCTGAGAACAAAATTTTTTTAACCTCTCACACGAATACAAAGCTTCCCTACTTTCGGTAGTGAGGAAGCAAAAAAAAAACCCTACACGTGGTTACATTTAGTTGCTTTGTATGAGATATTAATTTAAAAATGGTATATATTGTGATTGTTTAAGTTTTTATCTTAGATCACTCATAAGAACAAATATTGACCGTAGACAAATATAGACCTCTTCCTCCTCCCCGTGGATCCGCCAGTGGTCCTAATAATATCGGAGAGATAACATAAATCTAATTTCACAAGAACCTGTTGAGGGTAGACAAATGCCACGTAGTTTCGGATCAGATACACCTTTCTCAGTTTAATGAAGCTGAATACTGATAACATACGGTCCAGTGCATTTCATATAGCACAATAGAATCATTGATTGGAAATTTCAATGATGGGGATTCGATAGTTGTCCTTCCTAAATAATGTAGCTGTATATTCTCATAATTTAAAACGGAGGTATTAAATCTTGACGCAGAAATAACCAAGGGAAATTCCTGTCAAGCGAGCCATGTTGGGCTGAACTTTTATTTTTATTTTATTTTTTTTAAATAACTGGGGAAGGAGTATTCTGAGAGAGTACTTTTCCATCCTGGAATTAACGTTGGTTCTTAAGGACCATTGACGTCTTCAGTGCCTGAAGTTTTTTAGGCAAAAATCCTGTATGCCATGTATTCCAAAGACCCCTAAGTATGTGTCCCCAATCTACTCCACAGAACTGCCGGGATCTTGGTTATCATCACGTTGGGACAAAGGGAACTTTCTTGGAAGGTTACTTTGGATATATCAACTCTTTTTTTACTAACTCTAAGTTTTTTTACTAACTTTTTAGTAAAGACGTTATAATACGTAGTATAGACCCCATCGAAAAAAAAGGTGGGCTATAGAAATATTGATTCGTTTGGCGTGACCTACACACAGAAAAAATCAAAATAACTAGGTTATTTAGGAAAAACGCCACAATGTTTTTGTTGGCCACATTTTTTCAGATTTTTTAAATCATATTATCTTACGATTCAAGCGGAAAGCAAAGGAGTATTCATGATTTTTTAGTATCTAATTAAATAGACAAAGTATGCTGATCTACAGATTGAAAACGTCCCAATTCTTAGAATTTTCGTAAATAAAATATTTGTAGGTTACAATGAGATGAAACTATTTACGAAGTTTCATGCGGATGATAATCATTTGATAAAAAGTGGTGTGTCAAGGACTATTAGTAAAAAAAATCACTAGGATTAATAATTTTTTTCCACATAATTCCAAATAATTAATTTGAAATATAAGATTTCAAAAATACGGTCCATAACAATTTAATTATGATTTCTCCAGCTTTATATTGAAGGTTGAGTGAATTAATTTCGAAATTAATGGAAATTATCCGATGGTTTTAAAATCTTGAATTCCAAAATTAAATATTTTCATTGTGTTTTTTGGCACCTTCAATAATGTCTGAAATTCGAATTCTTCTTCGTGCACGCTGCGATACATTTTTCTTTCTGATAAAGTTAAGAACTTTTCCATATTAATTTGTTAATATTCTGGACCTTTCTTCTTTATATTTAATTTTTCCTTCCATTTTGCGCTCAGTTCAATAATCAAATCATGTTGGGCTTTTCCTGAAATATAAGGACAAAATATATTCTGAAGTGATGGCGATAACATCCTCATAACGTAAAATGATAAAACTATGAAAACTATTTTTTTTTTTAAATTGATCTGTGATAAAAGTGGAAGAGATAAAATATTTTCGATATATTGCTTCCTTTCAAAGTCTTTTTTGTAACCAGTTGACAATATCTCAGTTGGTCAGCTCGCCCTGGCCTTTTATAGAATGTAAATATAACTGAATAGGTAGCGAGTGCGCGCACTAAATTGCCCGGCCTATCCGCGCTTTTTGAACCAAACTGGCTTTTTGGTCGGTCCAAGGAGGCCGGGTCTCGGTAGCGTCGACATAATATCTCTAGTGGCTTGGGGAATCTGTATCTTGCTTTTAATTAATTTGTTTATCTACTACCCTTTCCTCCACAGTCAGTTGTTAACCACCATTGTCTTATTTTCTTGCTGAACTCACAATTTCCAGTATATTCAAAATTGTGAGAAGATTCTCTACCTATTTACCCATATATACATTTCAGTGTTGGGAAATATTTATCTTAAATAATAGATAATATATAACGAATAATTTATTCGTACTTTCAACTGCGAATAACGAATATCGAATCCTTCTGTTTATCTTGTATCTAGATGATAAATAAATTCAAGTTACCTATTATCTTTTTATTTGTTATTAGAGTTTTTCAAATAAATTTCGAATAATTTAACACTAAATTTATTTTTCTCCGATATCGAAGAAATCCAAAAAACTCAAATATGCCACAACGCAGCGGCGTATATAAAAATGGAGATAATTTTCAAAAACTGTGGCCCCGAAAACATATAAATAGACCTTTATATCACAGAAATTCTTAAAATTACAAAAACAATTATTCAAATAGCATTTTTATCTTAAATAACGAATAATGTATTATAGATAATGTATGTTATCTGTAAATAATAAATAATTACTTGTCCAAAGGTTACTGAATCAGAATAATGAAAAAATGGAGCAATCTATTATTCGTTATCTAGATAATATTTCAAATAATTTATGCAAATAACACCCAACAATGGTACATTTTAAAGCCAAGCAGGGACGGACCAAGTGGGTCTCCTGCAGAGTATATGCATCATAAATTACAATTATGATAACTCATGATGAAGTTATTTATCCTGTTTATAGACTGAAAACTACAAAAATAATTCTGAGCATGTAAAATAAGTATTATGTTGAAATTTTCATCTTGAAACATCTCCAAGTATACATAAATACTTACTGAATGTTTGTGCCTGGGTTCTATCTGAAGAAACAATATGGTTGCTAATTTCTCAAGGACTACCGTCTTGATGAAAGGAGGCACTTTGGTCCCCCTGACTCCCCTGTGGTACACGTTGAGGGTCACCACTGACAGGCCTGATGCGAAGGTGACAAGGCATATACTAACTCCGTAATACAGACCTAGATCGAAGATACAATTAGTGTTGCTTAAGGTAATCTTTTAAGAAATATACAACATTCTCATCTAGGAATCAGACAAATAGTGATGGAAAAGTACTTTGGCTTACTTATAAGTGGAGTTTTTTCAGTTGGAGGTAGAGTTTCTCTGATGGTCATTAGAAATACTGTCATTGACAGCAGGGCGCTGATACCGAGTGTCACCTTTTCGCCACTTTCTGAAGGAACGTAGAAAACGAGCAAAGCTAGAAAATAGAAATATACACTGTTGTTTTATACTTTTTTGTCAATACTAGCAATCTAAGAAGTGTATTGTAATTAGTGTTGCCCAAATGCGAAACCGAGACGAGTCTTGGTCTTGCAAACTCAGTCTTGGTCTTGCGCAAGAGTCTCGCAACAGTCTTGCAGTTACTCATTAGCTTATTACTATAGAGATATTACTATATTTTTTTAGATAGGAGAAATCTAACTATGCCCGAATGAAAAATTAGAGGAGCTAAATGCAAAAGTATATTGGTTATACCAATTAATAACATACAGTAACTAAGATTGTCAAGTATTAGTAACTATTTTGGCTAAATTTTTATTTTAAAAAATCGATTTTTTTACCAGTCCTGGTCATGGTCTTGCAACAGTTAGGCGGCCTAGGTCTTGGTCTTGCAAAGTGCAAGACCAAAACCGATTTTGGGCAACACTAATTGTAATATGGTCCGATTTTGTGGTATGCATCTCTCAACAGATCTCCACGTTTCAGTGCTATCTGATTACAAAAAAAATATTCAGAATAAGTGCTTTTTTTTTTTTTTGTTCTTCCCTACCTCGCCTTTTTAGGCTATACGGGATTTTCCCGGGCCGGGGGGTGAGGGCGGGGAATTTAAAATCCCCTCCAGCACCGGGACGCGAACTCGTACTTTTTATATCATCTCAAATCTCTGTTATCCGGTTGCCAGCAACTAGCTGTGCTGTTACACACGCTTTAGCCTATTCGGCCACCCCGCCCCCGTCGAGAATAAGTGTGTTTGTAGGTAGGGATAGGCCAATTTTTTTTTGCTTTAACGGGATTTTTCTCCCAATGCTAGTTAATGCAAAAACAGAGGTGCCCATCTCCCCCTAAGGTCGATGGCGCAATAACCTACTCCGTTCCACTCTCAAGATATTTTATTGCTCACCTTTTCTTAGAAAAAGAGCAAGGTCGAATTAAAAAAATCGTAGATTATATACCATTTCACTTGCTGCGGTATGCTCCATATTTACCCCTTGACCCTTTGTATGAAACTTTTCATTTCGAAAATTCCTATCCCCTTCGAAATGTGTCCCCCTCAAAACTTTTGATGGTGCAATTTGCGCAATGAAATCCCCTTATGGGTTACCTCTGTGGGAATGTATCAATCGGTCAGACCGTGCAACAAATCCAAAAATATATTTTTCTATAGACTGTAACACAAAAACGGCTCTAAAGTTTTTTGTAAATTTCTTTATGACTTTCTGATTAAAGATTTTAATTTTTCATATGTGTGTTCCATCCCTGAGAAGAAACAAGAAACAAAGTTTTAACATAAAGAAAATGTTATACATTTTATTTTCGCAAAATCAAAAAATATACATTTTACGGCCAATTGTATTGTGCAGTGAATAGAGTATCACAAGGAAGACAATTATTTTTCCCATCGAAAAATAAGCTAAATCAAACTGGTATAATAAAAGGTACTGGCACATTCGATTGGTAAGAATTTTTGGCCATAATATGAAGTGGACTTAAATTTCCTTCAAGAAAACAAATATTAGACTTTGTATCTGAAATCTCAAGAAAAGTCAATGAAGTGAAACACTGAGATAAGGCTAGGCGAATACAGAAGTGTAAATATTTTATAGTTGATGGATTTAATATTCTGCTAAACAGACGAGAGCAAATAACGATCCTCCTTTTTAGCCAGGAAAATAGTTTGTAAAGGTTTATCAAGGCTTCAATGGAATAAAAAATAAAATAAACGAGCTAATTATAAACTACATGAATGGAGGCGGCGTTATTATATTATCAAATTAAAGGGATAATTTTAATACTAAAAGTTTCTTACAAAAAGTTCTGTATTCTATATAAGTTTTTATGAAGATAACTTTGATGGATGAGGTTCAATATAATTTCTTTAGTCGTTTTATGCGTTATCCGTTCATATAAAATGGATTTTTTTCGGGTAAATAAGTCTAATTAATTTTTCAAAACCATTCTTGTATTACTAATTTGGAGTATGTTCCACCCAAACTATTATTATCATCATTTTGATGAAGTAGACAAGTAAATAGTTCAAACTAGGACTGAGGAATGAGTTTTATTGCAATCAGAAAAAAATCTCAACTGTTTTAATTTAAAAAATCAATCATTTTCTCATCACATAATAATACTTCACGAATTTAATTTACTACTAGTGTTATGAAAAATGAAGAAATTATTCAAAAAGAAAGTTGCTGGCCAAGATGGGGTCTCGTAAGCAGGTATGTTTTCTGAACCAAAAACGACCGACAATTACGACGGATTAGTCGTGAAACGATTTCGGAACAGATGAGGTTTTATGATGTCAACGCAACTTAAGTACATGACTCATGCATATAAAAACAGATTTTTCATTTTTTACAGAATTTCAATATAAAACATCCTTATATATTTCCGAAGTATTTAATATTTAGTTAATAAACTACTTACAAAATGATTTTATCTCACCGACAATATCTTTTCTAGGTTTTGATCTGCCTTCTTATGGGACACGGTATTTCCATGTTTATGGTTATGATTGGTAAGTTTTAAACATATTTTTCTATTTTTTTGGCACTAGATATGAAGGTTATCATGTCTTTATTTGTATAAAGAATAAAGAATTTTTTAATTAATAATCTTTATAGATATAAAGAATTTTACATTCAATTAATTATGTTACTTTTTTTAAAAATTAGAATATTTTTTCGGTATGGATCACTTGCCTCTTCAATAAATTTAATCTAGACCACATATTTTTATTAAGTAATATAAAATTCCGTCTTAGGACCAGATTAAAACAATTATCATTGCTAGGACATTGTTTGTATATGATATACATAAATGGCATAATACTTTACCACCAAATTCAACATTATATTCTCACCAAACACGCAGAACTCAATTAGTTTTTAGTAATTCTACAACACCAAAAACCGTTTTACGATATGAGTTGAACAGGCATGATTAAATGAAAAAAACATTTCAGTACTTTCGACTCAGGTAAATAAATAAGAATGAATAAATAAATTTTTGGGCTACGTATTATGTTACACACAGTTCTATATCACTTTTTAAATAATAATATTTCATTATATCTTTTCTTTACGAAAATGGTTGATTCTCACTCTTTGAAGTATTCAATCTCCTACAATGGAATCTTTTAAAAGATGTTATGCGAACTTAACGTGTCCCTTCAAATTAAACGTGAACCTCAATTTTTACAACTAAATCTTTTAGTTTTTATTTCTTTTGAATTATAAATGATTTGCTTTTTATAAAAAAGGAAGCTTTTCGACTCCACTCTATTCTTGAGCAGTAATGAAGAGATTGTCCATTTCGGGAGCGGGCGATCTGGTCGCCTTGTCATGTTTCCATCTGTCTCGCCGATTTCAGGCAATTTCTCTTCCTCTTCCTGGTTCATTTTCTTTACTAGTTTTTTAATCACAACATAACGGTGAGTAACAACTTTTTTCTATCGCCTGGAATTCGCTGAATGTACCCCTATGACAATATCAATTCGATAAACAAATGATTCTTTGCTACGTAATATGGAATGCTTTTTGGGAAAGTGAAGTTACAAGCTAAAAAAGGAGTCAGCAAGCCTCGGTCCTAGGAGCTAATTCCCGCCATTTTTAAAAACAATATTTGTCGGACGTCACATTTATGAAAGGTAAATGTTTTTAGAAGGGGAACAGTGAATTATTTTTTTCTTGAAAATAGCTGATAATTTTTTCATAAATTTGGTTATTATATAAGTACTACATTTGGAATAAAATATTTAAATTATCAATATTTATGGTATATCAAATTAAGTTTAAATAATTATAAAGATAAGAATATTTTAATGAACTATCAACATTGTGAATCCAATCCAAATGGCTGATAATCTGTAATTATTCATGTTTTAACGGACTTCCAACCAAAAAATATTACAAAATTTATTGAAACTAAACACCATGAATTATTGGGCTCAAAACACTGAAACGTTGTTGTATAGAATGCTCTTAATCTATCATCTGCTCAAGATATGTAAAGATTTTTTGAGAGAACGGATTTTTGAGTTATAGTTATAGTTATGATGGCTCAAATTATTCGTTAAGATTCCGTGAGTATTTTCAAGCAATTTGGCTAATAAACGCGAGCAATTAACTATTTAAAACTTGATTTAATTTTTCCACAAAACGGTAGGAACTTATTGGGGAAACGGCTCAACCGATTTTTAAGGTAGATGGTTCAAATTACTTCATGAGATCTCTTAAATGATTTGAGCTCTAAATACATAAATATAAATAAAAAATATATTTTAAATATTCTAAATTTCATGTTAGTTTTATATCGAGTAAGTTTGTGATCATAATATGATGTTATGTCTTTATAAATTGTCAATAATATTTCGAATATTTATCAATAAATGGAAAAAGTAAACACGTTAAAACAGTGGCGGATCCAGGAATGTTCTGAGGGGAAGGAGACGCACTTATGGAACAGGAGAATTCCCTACACCAAAGTTATATATATATATATATATATATATATATATATATATATATATATATATATATACACATATATATCTTCGGATCGATAAAAGTCATTTCTATAGGCAGTTTTTTAAAAATTGCTTGTGGAATTGTTCGGGTTTTCATCACGCATTTATTGATGATTAAAGTTCTAATTAAAATTAAAATATAAATTAAAGTAATTAAAATTTTCAGGTAAGCATTTAAAAGCCCATTGGGTTTGAAAAACTCGAGTATTAATTTTAAAAATCTTGGTCTGGTCAAGAAAACAGAAATTTATCTTTATTTTGTCTCAACATTAGACGTGTCTCCGCCATTATTATACTTAGACCCTTTTACCTTCAAATACCAAAATTACAATAATCGTTTTGAATAGCTTTGCTTCCTTAAAGAGATATTGAGACCACTAAACAAAATTTTAATATAAAAACTAGATTAAGGTCTTCTAACTAAAACTATCTGGATATTAGACATATAATAAAATTTTATCGCTTCAAGACAAATATACATCATGCCAAAACCAATATTCTTTTGAGGGATAAATGAGCCTAAAATCAAGATTTCACTGAAATATAAAGTTGTGTACTAACATCATCCTGAGGTGCCAGAATCAGTCAAGGAAAGAATTAATGTAAAAACAATATAAATGTTTAATTTTGCTATGCTGACCTAAAAAAATAGTTTCATTTAAAGTTATTTTTCACTATTTCCAAATTCCAACTTTTTGCTCATTATCAAGATCTAGTTCCATGTAGCAAATAATGCAAGTAACAGCGATAAAATTTTGTAAACAGACAGTCGATTATATAAATAAATAATCATTTGTCCTTACAATTAACATAATAAAACATAAAAAATAACTGCGCTAAATTATCATTTTATCCTATTTATCTACAAAGCTATTAATAGGAATTATAATTCAAACTTTGTTCCACCGAAAACAGAATATAAAATTACATAATGAAAAGGAACATAAAGATTCTATTTTTGTTTTTCTTATCTTCCAAAGCTTATAAATTTATCTTTTTATTATTTTATGACTACTGCAACTACGCAATAACGCATCTAGCAAAGTCAGTGGTAAATAATATTTTTTTTTATATTGGCTTCGAGTTATAATAACGTTATTGAGTTATTTATAAAGCAAAATCTCTGAGCAGTTTTCTTTTTAACATGCGTTGAGCAGATAATCGGGAGGAGGTTTGGTTGAAGCTTGAATTGTTGTCTATTTGTCGTATATATAATATTTTACTTTTGAAATCCCTTTTTTAAAAACATTTATGTCTATAAGTGTAAGTTGAAATATACCAAGGCAGATTAACAATTTTTTGCAGAATTTTGAATTGTTTGTATTTCGTTTATGTGTTTGTTTTCTAAATCCCAAAGTTCTGTACTCCATGTCGAAATTGGTCTCAGTTTAGTGTTTTAGGTTAGTCGCTTGTTTTGTAGATTAATTGAGGGTCTGTAGCTCAGAAGATGTGAGTGGATTATATCTTCTTGTCAGTGTTTGCATTGTTAATTTCGTATGCAAGTTTGAAGTAAGTCTTTTTACTTTCACTTACCTATTTATGTAATATATAGTAAAGGAAAGTATTGCGATTGTGAAAATTTTCGAATCTCATTTTTTCGAATCTCGGAAATCGAATCGGAAAAATTGAGATCCCCTGCGTCCAGATAACCAAGTCTCACAAAATGATCTGTGTGTCTGTGTGTTAACAGTCCAGCTAAAAAACGAAAATTCGTACAAAAGTGAGATTGCATAATTAAGATTTTTATACGTCTGAAGAGTGGTAGATGCTGGAACAGGGTTTTTATCTGATCTTAGGATTGCGGTATCGTTTGCAAAAGTAGCCAGTATTGTGTCATTGTGTTCCGGTAGGTCAGATATATTAAACAATATGGTCCAAGGACACTACCTTGAGGTACTCTTGCTTTAATAGGTTTAATGTCAGAATGTTCTGTCCCTACTTTTACTACAAAATGTCTATCCGTTAGCACTAGTGGATCCAGCCGGGGGGCGCGCGCTCCCCCCTGGAGACTGGAAAAAAATTCCAAAAAAAGTTCCAAAAAACAGCTATTTTAAGAAAAGAGAAATAGAAGGAAAATTCATCCTCATAGAAGATGAATTTCCTAATTTAATATAAAAAATAAAAATTCTATTGTCACCAGCTCTAGCGAATTCTGCCAGGGGGCACGCCCTCTCTAGGATAGGGGAAAGAATTCTAAAAAATGTAGCAAAAACGCATATTTAAAGAAATGAGAAATGTAGGGAAAATACATCCTCATACACGAATTTCCTAATGCAATATAAAAAAAAATTATTATCGTAACCACACTAGCGAATTCTGCCAGGGGGCGTGCCCTCCCTTGGATGGTGGAAAAAACAAGAAAAAAAACACCTATTTAAAGAAAACAGAAATGTAGGAAAAAATTATCATCATAGACGAATTCCCTAATGAAAAAAAGAGAAATATGGAGAAAATTCATTCTCATAACCCGAATTTCCTAATGAAAACAAAATTATTATCGTGACCAGCGATAAGTGATTTCTTCCAGGGGAGAGGGCGTCCTCCTCTAAGAACAAGAAAATATGGGTATTCTTCCGGACCCAGGTTTTACCCAGTTTCAATAGATCTGAACGCATTGTAACTTTCAATAACTATAATCTCCTTGAAGAATCCATGTGAATCATAAAACTGGTCACGATAATAATTTGTATATTTCTCATTAGAATGTGTTGTTATTTTATTAAAATAGCTGCTGTTGGGAACGTTTTCATGAAGGAATGTATTAATCATTTGGTCTCCGATTTGATCGATATCTGTTTATGATCGAAATCGAAAATTATAATTGTTTTTTTTTCTTAGATAACTCAATTCCAAGCTGCAGGGCCACTTACAGTTATCTTTCTCAGATTTTGACAATATCGGTAAAAATTAGCGTTCATTGGCCTTGGTTATCGACTATATAACTTAATCAAATGATTAAGTTTAGGCACTCGTTCAACACACAATTTGACGTTTTTTAATTTCTAAAAGAATACGTTTTTTGGTTTGATTCACTGTTTAATAGTAATGCATGAGAAAAAAGAGCAGATAAATCTGGAATTTTCAGTAAAATGTTTTCTCTTGGTGAACCCTGTTAGCAATTTAGTTTCTTACATTTCTAAACCCATATACAGAGGACTTTTGATCGGCTGAATTTAGCTAAGGAGTGGGGAGCTCTGCTAAAATTTCCAATATTACAAAAGTTCAGTCCTTTCAGTCAAAAGTGTTGCGAAGGATATTTGACGCACCGTTTTACGTCACAAATGATACACTACATAAAGACTTAAACGTACCTAAAATTTTAGATACTGCAAAAGAGAACTACAATAACTTTCACCGAAGACTGACGTACAACATGAATCCTCTGACAGAAATCCTTCATCGTACAAGAAACCCGTACAGCCCACTACGACGATTACGTAGGCGTTGGCCAAGAGACCTGCTGATCTGATTTATATCCCAGACGTGATGCGAAGCTGCCAAAAAATTTGCTCATTGCAAAGAAATTCGCAGATTGCAAATTTAATATAAAGTTCTACATTTTTGTTTGATTAATAAATATATAAAATTGTATAGGTTACAGCGATATAAAAATCAAAATTTGTATATAGAATGGAATAGAATAGAATAGAAGAATCAACTTTATTCTGGGACAAAGTCCCTTAAGAATAACAATTTTGTACATAAAAATTAACATTCCATCTGGCCAAAATAATACATATCACAATAAAAAAAATAACTAAAAACTAAGTGATAGCAGAAGTATTTACCTTATTACATTTACATTACAGAACGGGACTAGACATCTTTTCCATGCTCAAAAAAGAATATATATTTATATACTAATGATAAATAGAGAAAAATGCAATTTTGTTACATGATAAATGACTACTCAGTTTCTGATTGAATTGTAAGGAGGAATTGGAATAGTAGGGTTTTAAATATGGATAGGGATGGTGCATGGCGGATTTTAAGTGGGATGAAATTCCAAAATATAGGACTATATAGGGATTCTTAAACAAATAAAAGTAATCACAATGAAATATAGCATCTGTAACTTTAACTTTTACTTCCCCTTCCTCTGAAAATACTTATTTTTCCTAAGAAGAGGGTAATGCGGTAAGAAGTGGAAGTTGTGTGATGCACGCACCGCACAAGATTTTTTTAATTAGAGTCCAGGCTACATTAGGCATTGTGCTGTTGTCGATGGTTAAAGATGTACAAGAAGCTTTCCTTAGAGAGAAACTGACGTGGCTTAATTTAGATGAGTTCATTTTATTTTTACCACCATTTTCCAAAGTCACTTTATCAACAGTTTTATGTGCCGAATGGACATTACGATGATATTACTTTTATTGTTTGCGTTGGTTATTCTATTTTGGAGTAAATTGTAAATCAAGTTCGATTCTAACCACAACTACGTTTGGTGGCAATTGATACAATATAAAGTTTTCCTACGAATAAAACCTAAAGGTAAATTAGTTTAAATGATTAATACCGTCATAACCAATTTCTTAATTACAATGTTTTTATAGTTTTTGATTTATTATTCGTTTAAACCTAATTTTACTTTCTTTGAGGTAGTATAAAGTAGTACATTTAAAGATATGTTAAAAAGTTAGTTTCTATTTAGTATAGTTATGATATAAGGTTACCTATACAATTGATGAGGATACATGGTAGGATTAGGTTGAATACGTAGAACATGGGCCGCCTCCTCAACTGCAAGATGTAGGTGATGTCCGGGTATGGCTCGGTGCAGCAGGAGTAGTACTGGGTGTGGTGGACCGGGGTGAAGCTGAGGAGGTCGAACTCCCCGTTGGGCTGGTAGTTGCTGATATCTCCGTCTTCTCCTTGCTGTATAAGTTCCAGCTGCGAACATTATTTAATGAGCACTGACAAATAGAGATTTCACCAAGTAATTTGCAAGTTATAAAAGGAAAAATGCAAAATACAAAGCTATGAGACTCCAACATATAGATAAGTTGACCTGTCAACGTTTCGCCAATTCAGGCATCATCGGGGCAGAAAAACCAAGATCACATGTATACAGAAAGAAAAACATAAAGGAAAAAAAAAAAACATGATTGCAGAAGATATCTCACAAAGCTACCCAAATACTGCTGTAAGAGCAAATATTTGGACTGTTTATTGATATTATATTAAAGTAATTCTAAATATCGAGCAAAAATGTGATATATCAGGCAGTTGGGTGATTTCGCAGGCAATAAGATGGCTTTTTCCGAACATTCAATCTTTGGACAACGAGGTCTGAAGTTAAATCTATACTGAATATTGTCAAATTCTTGTTATTAACTGAAATAAATCTAAAAATGGCCTTTCTTTGGTTTCTCGTTTTTGGGATTAGATCAGAAGAATCATCAATGCTCCTTACTTTGTCACAAACAAAATCATCCATAATGACCTTAACGTAACCACATGTTTCGGATTTGGCCCAATCCAGATACCTACTCTTCCATAACAAACTTCAAAACCATCCGAACCCTCTCGTTTCAAATCTTGCTTCCTCTTCGATACCTGTAAACCCCCCAAGGAGTCTGAAAAGAAGATGGCCTCGTTATCTACTTATATAAATATATTATTAGAGTGCTACCAGTGGGTAGTTTCACAAAAAGCGTTTTCATATGATTGTATTATTACTGTGTGCACATTTACTGAATGTATTTTAAATTTATACAGTTGTAAATATCATGAATAAATAAAAAAAAAAAAATCAGAAGGAATGATTCTGGGGGAAATTGTTTAATAATATCAACTATTAGATGTGACCTTTAACCGAAATAGGGACCATATCCATCTTGATTCAACACCAACACATACTTTTATAATACTAGAGAATCGGGAATGACGATTCTTCTGATCCAGAGTATGATGGCTTGGCACCTATTAACTCTTTGATGTGGACATATTTTTAGGGGTTTGGAAATTTTCTTAATAGAACTTCAATCTGAAAAACTTTCATAGCAGTGAACAATGAAATAAATGAAACAGAACATCAATGTAATAGTAAATGATTTTTTTTTTAATAACCCATTATTTTTTTGATGTGTTTTATAGTCTAAATATCCTCTTTTTTTCTACATATTTTGCACTGATAAGTATTCCATGGTAAATATACAATTATCTTTTATATTTTTACTTCTAATTTTTAAAACTAAAAGATGAATAAAATTCCTTAAAATAGGAGGTATGCGGTATTGCCCAGGCACCTCTGGCCAGAACAATACGTTCAGGTAAAAGATCGGTCTTATGACAGTATGATGTGTATGTATATATATGATATATAGGTATGACGTCTCTCTCTCTCTCTCGACTGATGTTAAGAAAAATAGTCTCCTTGCTAATCCTCTCTCTGATTTGGTATTGTGACTCAGTATATATCGATTTATCGGAATTTGAAAACACAACAAAACAAACACAATTCAGACTGCTCTCAACACAACTAACCGTTCTATATTCTGAACAAAAAGGGAAGACAATATCACATAAATATGTTTGCCTATTTGAGAACTAAAGATTATCGGTTGCTTAACTTGTCCATCGCAAGAAGAGTAACTAAGACAATAGAGAATCTACTAATCTCTTTCTATTATATTATTATTACTATTATCATTATATTACTAATATGGCTTAAGAAAAAAATCTTTTGCCGCTGATGAATAGTTCATCTAATATTAATAAATAAAATTTAGTTTCCACTAAATAAATAAATAAAAATAAAAAATCAAATGAATTAATAAATTAAATAAATACATTTCAAACTTAAATTTAACTAAATTCATTAATAAATGAAATTTAGTTCCACATGGTATTAAATATTTACGATTTCATTCATTCAACTGTTAGACGTGGTAGAATCACTTCCATGCTTGTATTTTCATTACAAATTTATAAATCTTTTATAAATTATTGTTGATTGGAAAATTCAATTATGAAAGCCTTAAAATGAGTTCATGTTGACATACCTAAGCCCGATGAAATGGGTTTTTATAATTATTTGCTTCTAATTTCTTTCTCTACGCAGAACGCTCTCTCAAAGCACAAGAGAAGAATCTTAACAACAACTAAATTTTGGTCCTCTTTGAAGCGTTTCCTCAATCAGATAATTATCGCTACTTTGTTTAATTTAATAATTTTTTGGCTTAAAAAACAATTAAGACAGCCTCGTGCTCTGCTGAAACGTACAATTTTAAAGGTTTAGTAACAAAAATAAATTCTAAACATCTTGGTTTATAATAAATCGTATTGTAGAACTGAATTAGATAAAAAATCATACCATCATTTCCTATGAGATTGAAATAATATATCATAAAACTGAATAAAACAATTTATAGTCGATCGATCAGATGGAAACGTCAAATTACTTTATTTTAAATTATATTTAATAAATTAAATTATTGTTGATAGATATTCAGGACGCAACAAGTTTTTAAGATATTCTTTTAAGGTTTGAAAAAAAAACTCAAAATAAAAAATAATCTTAAAAACAGACTGTGTCCAGAATATCTATTACCGATAAAATGTACAAAAGTCGACTAACTTTCTTCAATGAATTAAATTATATTTTCATCAAAGTATGGGTTTGAAAATGGCCAGTGTTACTATATTTGGACTATTAAAAATCTATACGATTACAATATCATGGAATCTATTATGTATCTTGTATGTAATATAGAATGCAATCAAGAAAAAAAATAAAACGATGCAAATTATGTTAATACATTAACAATAATGAGATGGGTTTTTGGATGTACACAGCCTATGTTGTATTGGGATAGCGTTCTCATTTCCATCATGCTAGAAAAAAAAAACAAGAAAAAAAACTAATATTCTGAACAAATAACCACAATTTGCACGGCAATGTTAGTGTCATCGTAATGTTTTAGTTTGAACACCAATAATGATACATAAATTTATTTGCTATCATCTCCGCTAGCTCTTGTTTTTCATTCTAAATATGTAATCAGTTCCCGAGCACTGAGACATGAATTCCGTTTCAGTCACGGAATATTAGTAGGTTTGACAAACACAAAGAACAAATCCAATATATTTAACGGGATGGATTATTCATTAGTCACTGCTTCGACATTGAATAGATTTTCAAGGTCCTCAGTGCTAACGTCTTCTCACTAAATAATTGTTTGCACAGTCATATGCGAACAGTGTGATCAACAAATAATTTACGAATACATTTTTACTTTCTTATGGCCAACTGAGGCTAAGAAGGTATTGTGTAATCGGTTGAAATATTTGCTATCCGGTTAATCACATATAATTTCGGAATATAAAAAATATCGATGGCTCATAGTTATAAGTCGCTAAATGGATTTTTGATGGAGTTGATTAGAACGTTTTTGTAGATATTGACCTTATTTATCGTTAAAAAAAAAACGGTATGGGCACAAAAAAGACAAATTCTTTTATGCATCAAATATAGTTATAACAAGAGTACATATTTTCAATTTCACAATGGGAAAATTCATCAACGTTCGTAGTGATTTGTGGTTATTAAATGCCACTTAATGAATGCAATAAACCGACGATAAATGAATGCTGTTGTATTTCTATAAGCATTCTACTTTTTGATTCACTCTTTTTGAAGTGAAAACATCTTTAGGCACGTCTTGCAATTTTTTGTGGAGCGTGAATTCGGGTGAAGTCGGCTGGAGTCGATTAATTGAAGAGTTTTTTTATAAGGCTTAAAATATTTCAAAAACTAAAAATTGGACCTGCATATTGTTAAAGAGGAAAATGTTTATAATTTCATCGTCTTTGTAATGAGCTATTATTCATCTCTATCTCGCGTATCTCAACGCGACGCCGTGTTAGAGAGGCGACAATGGAAAAAAATGGTGTCGAAAACTAAATTATAACGTGTTTTATTGAAGATGTTACTTAAAATATCTCAGAAACTAAAAATCGGATCTGCATGTTGTTAGGAGGGGAAATGTTTATCATTTCCTATTATTAAAATTTGTATCTTAACACCGCACTAAAAAGGGTGTAGCTGAAACAAAAGGGAATTACTTTAAAGTGTATTCGAAACATTCCGTTATCCTAAAAATTCACAAATACCGTTATATTCTAGAAAATTTGGGAAAATCTGATTACTTTATATGGATTCCTAGTCACATGAGAATAGTTGGAAAAGAGCTTGCAGACGTGGCAGCCAAACAAGCTCTCACGCTTCCAGGCCTGGATACTGCTATCCTATTACCTCTAGAAATGAGTATTCCGCTTAAAAAGGAAATACTAGACAGTTGGCAGCTCATGTGGAATGAGAGCCAATAGAGAGCACCAGTTAAGTTGAAAATTATAAAAAAATTAGCAAAGCCATGGCCACATCAAACAGTTCTAATCGCAGGGAAGAAGTCGCCTTGACTAGGTTGAGAATAGGTCGTACAAATTTGACTCCTGTATACCTTATCAACGAACAACCACCTCCGACATGCCAATATTGCAATACCCCTCTCAGTGTCAGCCATATTTTTCAGGAATGCCCCTATTACACCGCAAGCTTAAATAGATTATCTCTTAGACCGGATATTTCAGCTATATTAAATAATGACGAATCAAATATAAAAACAGTTATTAATTTCCTTAAAACTCATCGGTTATTTAAGAGAATATAGAAATGTACATAAATATATATATATATATATATATATATATATATTTATTTTTTATTATAATTTTTTTTTTGTTTTCTTTAAGGAGTTTATGAGATCCAGAGAACAAAAATAAAGAACAAACAGGCGTTGATGACCCTAGGGTTTTATGCCTCAAAGCCCAAATAAATAAACAAGTCTTTATTTCGATATAATTTTCTTTAAAAATATGGCACAGTAAAA